ACGCGTGGCGGCGGGGCGCAGACAGCACGTGGCATGCGGCGGCGAGGGCGGCGAGGGACACCGGGCGGCGGCGGCGGCCCGGGATATAGGCGTGCGACGGACAGACCCAGCAAGCCCCGCCCGCGCCCCGCCCGCGCCGGGGTCCTCGGAGCGCTCGGGCTGCGCGCGGAGCGGGCTCGGGAGGGAAGTCCCGAGACAAAGGAAGTGCCGCGCCGCCTCCGTCGCCGCCGCTTCGTCCGCCTCGCTCGCCGGGCCGCGGCCGCCCTAGGTGAGCCCGGGTGGAAGGCGCACAGGGTGCGGCGGCGGCGGGGCGGGGGCCAGGCCTCGGCGGCGCGGGCCTCCGCCGCCGTCGGGCCGGGCTCCTCCACCCACGGTCCCCTGGGCCCCCACCCGCGCCTCCTGCGCGCCCCCCGACCTGACCCCGACCCCGCGCCCGGGAACCGTCCGCCTGGGAGCTGTTGACGCCGCAGGCTACGGCGCCACCCAGCCGTCCCGGCCTCGGCGTCGGCCCGGCCTCGGGGCTCCCGTCGCTTTCCCTAGTGGAAGTGCTGGCGTCCCCTCCGGCGTGGGCTCGCGGTGCGGCCGGGGAGCGAGGCGGCATTGACAGGAGCTTTCTCTCCGTGGAGGGACCTGCGTTTCCTGGGTCACGGGTCCGCACACAAACCTGTGGCGCTCAACAGCCGGGACGAGAGGCCCAGCAAGCGAGAGTTAAAAGTCTTGGATTGCAAAATTGCTGGTTGGATTGGGGGTGGGGGAGGCGGGGATGATGCCTAAAATTCAAAACCAGTCTTGAGTGTTCTTGCGCCTCCAGAGAGCTCCACTTGTGCCGTTGGTGGGACCCTGAACATCACTTCACTGGAGGGAGAGTTTTCTTTTGTTTTTAAGATTGCTTTGTACCCGTCGAAGGGAGCTTGGAACTGATCTTTTCGTGAGTAGGAGGAAAGGAAGGGAAGGAGGATCACGGCTTGCATTCGTTCCTAAATCAGTTTTTTTTTAAGTGGTTTGGTTTGTATATTGTGAAAGCATGCTTAGCTCCTCGGTTTGCAAAGTTACTGTACTGTTTGCAAAGTTAGCTTTGTTTCTTTTTCAAGAGGATAACTCTAAATGTAGCTCTAACTGTAAGGAATCGTTACCTTTGGGTAGAGCACCTACCCATCAGACAAAGGAGATGGGTACTGGTTTGTCCTGACTTGCTTGTGACCCTTCGGGTGGTTGAGGGGTGAATTATGCGTGCTGTTGTGTCTTTGGTGAGTCCCCGGGTTTGGGACCTTGCTTCCGAAACAGCCTGAGATCCTGGGAGATTCCATGAGAAAGAACAGGAAGTGCCGCATTGGGCAGAGGCCGGGTGCTTAGATTGGCAAAGCGCATACCTTCCCCCTGAGGGAGTTTGTGTTTGTTTCAACCTGGGCCACCTGTGGGGTCTGGGTACCATCGCCCATTTACAGACGAGGAAGTAGTTGGGGGAGATGAACAACTTGCTGCGCTCGCGAAGCCAGTAAGTAGGTCTGAAGTCTCTGCTGTCAGCCAGCAGAACTGATCTGAGAAGCGAGGGTTCAAGGCCGACCTCCCCACTATGCCTGGCGAGCCCTGTCTTTGTCCCACAGGCCGTCTCCAGTAGTTCATAGATATTTTATCTTTGCATCTACAAGTTGCAGCCTTAGCTGCTCCTTATGTTTCTCTCTGTTGGGGAAGGCAGAGTCAGTTTTAAGTGGGATTCTAAATGAGCGCTTCTGTTTTGTAATTAAAATGTAACAAACTGGCTGCTTTCTCCTGAACGGGGAAAGGCTACTAGGAGTGGAAGCACCATCTTGAAGACGCTCGTCTGCCTGGGACACAGCAGGTAAACACCTGTAGCTCTTTGCCCTGATGGTGGAAAGAATCTTGTTAGTGCCTGACCTGGTCCATTGGCATTCCGTGGAACTGCTGCTCATTATTAACCTTTCAGACCTGGGCCCGCCACAGCGAGACACTAGGACAGGGTCTCCATGTGCAGCTTTGTTCCATCCTCGGAGAAGAGGCGGATCCTGGCACAGGGTCAGCAGGAGGCAGGCGCTTGGGATCGCCCTGCTGGCCTCAGCCCCTCTGAGCATTGTGTGGCCCTGCACAGTAGCCATGGCTGCTCGGTGTCCAGAGCTGGCCTGGACTTCAGAAACCAGTTTTATGCCTCACTTAAACAGTGCTTACCAGGCTGCTTGTCTTTGGTCACTGAACTTTTGTGTTAATTCAGCAGAAGCTTCCTGCCCGCCTGTGCTGTCTGCTTTGCCATGGCCTGCGATGAGGCGCCTGCCCTCTGGGGGCAGGGGCAGTACTTTGGAGGCTGGCATATGCTGGGCCCTCGAACCTGGAGGTGGGGATGTGGCTAACATGCCATTTAGAACCAGTTGAGGGGAAGACTTAGAGAAACTGAGAAATGACGAATTTTCTACCATCAGGGCTACAGCTCAAACCTCCCAGTCAGTCATCACTGTCACTGCCACTTCTGGCAGAAGCTGCTGGTTTGCTCCTCTGCGCACCACCCGGAGGCTCTCGCATCCCTCATGCAGGCCTACCCTTCCGGCTCTCCTCTGGCCCACCAGGACCGTGTTCCCTGGAACAGTCTCCTGCCAGGTTGCTGAGGTGGTGCTTGCTTGGCCACCTGGCCACTATTGGAAAGCAAGTGCCTCTCGTCCCCATAGCACTGTTTGCATCTCCAGCGCTTCCTCCCCTGTGAGCCCACACCCACACCCACACCCCAGGCAGCATCCTGTCAGGCTCTCACCTCTGGTATGGTCAGACCCCCTGGGGAAGAAATGGGCAGACCAGAGCTTGGGGTTGTGTGGTGCAGTGAGCAGTTCTATTGGTGCAAGCCTGGTATTAATCTACTTTGGACTTAATCTTGAGGTCGGAAAAAGGTGTGTTCTGGAGTCACAGTGCTGGAGCTAGGGACCACAGTCCAAATTGGTCATCTGTCACCTGATGCCCTTGGCTGAAGGGCTTTGATTTCCCCCCCACTTTTCTTGTGATAATCTAAGCATACCTGTTTCTTGAAAATGTACCATATCCAGTTGGTCTGACGGTTTATATAGTAACTGGGTCCTGAGACCTGGGTTCCTTGGTGGGGTTAGAGGCGACTGCTTTTTTGCAGTGGCAATCCCAAGCCCTCCTTCTTCTATGCCTACTTCTTGGGAAAATGGTGGTTCAAGAGCTGCCCCAAACCCAGAGAGAGCACTGGGGCCCTTCCAGAGTTCCCGACTCCATGGTGGTCTCTCCGGCCTGGGGTGCGCATTTGATGCCTGCTGACCTAACACCTCATCCACCAAAGTGCGAGCCTTGAGCCTGGGGATGAGGGGCAGGGGTAGGCAGGACAGCCAGGTGATGTGGATACTGGGGTGAAGGGCGAGATTTGGTTTGCTGAGCGAGTTGTAGATCAGCCTGGGGTGGGGTGGGGTGGGTTGGGGTGGTGGGAGGGAAGGTTGAAATAGTAGTTACTAAGCGCAGGAGAAAAAGTAGCCCTGCCACCCACCCACTAGTCAGAAGAGCACCTGGGTTTGCATTGAGGCTCCTGTCTTAAGGGGCAGGGTCTTCTGGACCTCCATTCCTGTCTCAGGAACAGGCCTGTGTGGAGGCTGGGCAGGAAGGCACGGCTGCTGTCGAGCGATGTCCTGCTGGAGGGGTGCTTTGCCCACAGGGGTTGGGAGCCCTGTTGTTGTGGAGGGCACCCTGCATTGTACTCGGGCACTTGTGCTGGGCCTTTTCCCTGCAGGGGTAGCGAGGAGACCTCTCCGCCAGCCTCAGTATAAAGCTGAAGGCTTGGGGGAGCTGCTGGTCACCGTTTGTCTTGTAAGAGCCTTGTTTATGGTAAATGCATGGACTTAATCCAAGGTATCTTCAGTGTTTCCAGGACTTTGAGTTCCAACAAGCACACGTGGGGTCAAATTCTCCAGCAGGTTTTGTGACCATGTCGCCTCTGCAGATTCACTGCCCTGCAGTCTGTCTGGTGTGCCCGGAGATGTGCCTTACCTGAGGGCTGCAGGCTGTTAGTTTGAACAGCTAACGGCACTAAGCCTTCAGAGTATGTGGTCCAGGCCTGCTGAGGTCTTTTCGCTCCTGCCTGGTGCTCCTGAGGAGTTCCTGGGCTCTGTTGGCCTGCTTCACTTTTGTTGCCTTTCCCAACGTAAATGGGAGACGGGCCTTGATCCGTTAGTTGTTTGTGAAATGCCAGGGTGGGGCGATAGGATGAGTGGAGGGGACAGAGGAAAGAGCCGGGACACTGGTGACACATGGATCTGTCGGCTGCGGGGCCAGGTGAGCTGTCTCTGGACTTGTCCACAATGCAGCTGGGCTGCCCTCTGCCCTGGTGCACTTTTCCACTTGGTTGTCTTCAAGAATAAGGGTAATCCTGGCTAGGCCTGAATCTGAATTCTGAGCCCTGCTTCTAAGTTGGGGGCCTGACAGTACCTCACATCCGTGCACCAGGAGAGGGAAGCTTTTCATGCCTGCCCTTCCCAGGTCTCAAGCCAGCATTCTGTGTACATGACGGTAGGGCTGGACCCCCACTGCTGGGTGTGACTAAAGGGGGGGGGGGGGGCACGGGTGCCAGGTGTTTGCTGGGAGGACTCGGCATCCTGTCCTGCACAGCAGCTAGCAGCTCTGAGGCCCAAGCCTGTGGCTTCGCCTTTCTGAACCTCTGTGTCACCGTGTAACGGAGCCTGAGGGGTGTGCCGGGGAGCCCGGGGCTAGGCACTGACAAAGTGAGACACCACGTGAAGGTGTCACGGAGGCCCAGGCCTCTCTGGTGGTCTGCCTGTAGGAGAAGGCCGGAGTCGGGGCCTGGTGCCTGTCCAAACACTGGGAGGAGCCCCTTGCTAAGCACATACATGGTCTCTGGGCCATGGGAGAGCCTTCACTTACCACTTTTCTTGGAAACAAATCTGCTCACTGGGCAGGTGTGATGGAAGGGGCTGAAGGAACCAGGTTTTCCTTCTGATCCCATTTCTGCTGTCTCTTTTAGGACTTTGAATATGTCGGGGATCGCCCTCAGCAGACTCGCCCAGGAGAGGAAAGCTTGGAGAAAAGACCACCCGTTTGTAAGGAAGGCTTCATTCCTCATGTAGCTCAGTGGATCTTCTCCCCGACGGGGGTGGGAGGCACAGGGTCCCTGTGGGCAGCTAAGATGAGCTGCCACAGAGCTGATGTGCTTGTGTGTGGTTTTCTCTCAGGGTTTTGTAGCTGTCCCAACAAAAAACCCCGACGGCACGATGAACCTCATGAACTGGGAGTGTGCCATTCCAGGGAAGAAAGGGGTAAGGAGCACCATGCTCAGGTGTGGGGTGGACTGTGGGAACACTTCTACCCTTCAGAAGGACTTAGGTTCAAAGTGCATAACGTGATGATCACACAGGCCAGGGGACATGAAATGGTGGCGCAAGGTTAGTATGACATGTGGCGCCACCCCCGGCAGTTTTTCTGGATGAAGTATCTGAGCTGCAACAGGGCTAGTAGGCCCAGATCCTGCTGCATCTTTGGGAGCAAAGGTTGGAGAAGGGGCTGTAGGTGCCATGCAGGCCTTCAAGTTTATCCTGGATGTGCTGAGACTGGAGCAGCCCAGACAGCAATACTCCTGGGTATGTGAGCCTGAACTGTTAGAAATCCATGACCACCTATGATGGCTGCATGGGGCCCCATATGTCCTTCACACACAGCCCAGTCCTCCAAGGTGGTGCCTTCTTGGCTCCGCTGAGTATATCTGGGCCAGTTAGAACCAGTGCGTTTGAGGCATTAGGGAGTGAGGGTCTCCAACAGCCGAAAATATGGCTCTTCCCGAACATATGGCTCTTCCCGGTGACTCCAAAGGAAGGAAAGACCCCTGAGGCTTTTGGGTTTGCTGAGGCCTCATTGCCTCCACTTCCCCCTCCATGGTCTCTCATGAGAATCCACGATGCTCAGCCATGATGTTTTCTTGACTCCTTTCCCTTGCATTGAATCAGCTGGATTAGGACTTTGACCACAAGAAAATGTGGTGTAGGTTTGCTTCAACTGAGACTCTGTTGAGGGCCCAGCATGCACCCCAGCTTCCATTGAACCCATACATGGCCCCTTATCTTAGGGTGAGTGAGGCTGGTGGACTGTAGCCGGCTCCCTCCCAGTTGGGAAGGAGTGTTGGACTGAAGAGCTGGAGGCTGACGAGGGACAGGCGGGACCTGGGGGAGGGGATCTGCATTGAGCTCACTCAGTCCTTACCTGGCTGCTCAGGTACAGACCCTGAACCCCGCCATGGCCGCTTGTCTGCCCTCTCCAGGGAGGACTCCTTCCCATTGGCCCTTGGGGCTCATGGAGGTCCCGCCAGCCCTGTTGGGTCGTTGGGCTTTGGGCAGGTTACTGGGGGCTGTGTGGCAGCAGCTTGCCCCTCTCCTCCTGGGCCCCCTGCAGTAAGAGGCGGCGGCACATCTAATCACAGCTTCATTTCCAACAGACCCCTTGGGAAGGAGGCTTGTTTAAACTACGCATGCTCTTCAAAGATGACTATCCTTCCTCACCTCCGAAATGTAAGTACAACGAAGTCCTCAAAGGTTGGCTTTGATCATGCTCCAGCAGAGATCTGAGTCCTCTTCAGAGAGCTGGCCTCCGAGGTGTCAGTCATTTCACACTCTGCTCCACACAGGGTGGCCCCGCTGCTCTGATCCCTGTGGCCACGTCACACTATCCTTATGGCTGACTGTGGAGCTGAATGTTTCTAGCCCCAGGGTGGGAGGTGCACCTAACAGACCAAGTCTCCAGGCTTCGCTCTACAACTGGGAAGCTCCCATGCCCTGGCGTGAATGTTGATGAGATCCAGGTGAGGCTCCTGAACCTCAGTGCCTGTCAGGGATGAGGCCACAACATGCCTGCCCCGGATGGGGATGGCCATGCAGAAGCACCATTCAGAACCTTTCAAAAAAAAGGGGGCTTTTTGCTGTAACCTGTCATCTGTTAAAATTTCACACCCAACTCTGTGCCTGCATCTGCAGCCTGGATGGATAGCACACTTAAGCCAACAGAGAAGACAGCAGAAAGAAAACACCAAGGCCCTGTTTAAAACAGGGCCACAGGTAGACCAACGTGATACAGTTTAGCAAAACTCAGGATGAGCCCTAACCGGTTTGGCTTGGTGGATAGAGCGTCGGCCTGCGGACTGGAAGGTCCCAGGTTCTATTCCGGTCAAGGGCATGTACCTTGGTTGCAGGCACATCCCCAGGGGGAAGTGTGCAGGAGGCAGCTGATCGATGTTTATAACTCTATCCCTCTCCCTTCCTCTCTGTAAAAAATCAATGAAATATATTTTTTAAAAACTCAGGATGAGGGGGGAAAGGGGGAGGCACTAAATCTCTCCTGCTCATGATACAGTGTAGCTAGGGCTGCAAATGAAAGTTTCTAAACTATACCTTTTATAGTAGCATCAGGTACCTAGGAGTAAACCCAATAAAAAACATTTAAGACCTCTATACTGAAAACTAAGCCATTTCTGAGAGAATGAAGGACATTCATTCCCAAATAACTGGAGAGATGGGCCGAGTTTATTGATCAGGAGGCTTGCTATTATGAAGATGTCAGGTCTCTCCAAGTTGATCTACAAATTCAGTGTAATCCCAGTCAGAATCCGAACAAATTTTTGTGGAAATTGTCACAGGCTATAAAATGTAGGAGATGCAGAGTGCCAAGACTTGCTATGGCTCTTGGATTGGGGGGGGGGGGGGCGAGGATGGTGCATCTTAAGTTGGGGTTCAGTGGGTAAAAAGTACCAAGACCCGTTAGCAGGACAGGCAAGACATGAATCTGGTTGAGACCTCCAAAGGAAACGGTAGTTGAGATGGCAAAGAGTCCAAAAAACGCAGGTGTACAGTGGAGTGACTTAAGAGAGGAGACACTGCAGTGCATGGGGAGAGAGGGTGGTCTTCCAATGCACAGGCTGGGACAGCCGACTGTCCCAGTGGAGGATAGAGGACTCAGTTTCCCCCTATAGACCAGGCGGATTGTGCTGCCCAGTGGGAAGGCAGATGGGACAGTACAGCTTTTAGAGGAAGTCAGGAGGATGCCTTCATGACTTGGGTAGGCAGAGCTTAACTAGGAAAGCATAGAAAGTGCTTTTCCCCCAGAGGGGGGAAATGATGGATTGGACTACACTGAAATTAAGACCATCTCTTCGCCAGAAGATACCATTGATAGTGAAGAGGAACCCAGGCCTTGGCTCTGGCAGCGGCCTTCAGTCTTCTCTCCAGCCCGAGCGCCGCTCCTGTAGCTCCCTCGGCCCACTGCCCTCCCCCTCATAGCAGGTGTCCCACCCCACCCAGCCAGCCGCTCTGCCCAGACAGCTCAGAGCTGCTTGGTGGGTGGGGGTGCCTGGCTGCCACCATCTTTGTTGGGTTAATTCGCATATCCAATCCTGATTGGCTGGTGGGTGTTGCAAAGTGATGGTCAATTTGCATATTTCTCTTTTATTAGTGTATATGTCAAGAACCTCTACAAATCAATAAGAAAAAGGCAGCCATTTGATGGAACAGGCCCTTGACAAGAGGTTGTCCACCTGGCCAATCAGCACAGAAAGAGGTGCCTAACTTCATTATCGGAAAATTACCAGTTACAGTCAAATAACAGGCAGATAACTGAGGCTGCATAGCAGCAGAAGCCCACATAGGTGCACTAGAGAAAGAATAAATTTTGAATATTTCCTTTGGAAAGCTACTTGCCATGTCTACTGAAGCTAAACTTATTTCTACCCTAGGACCCAGCTGTTCAACTCAAGTAAATATTCAGTAGAAATGCATACACATGTTCACCAAAAGACATGGACAAGCATGTTTATGGCAACTCTGTCTGAAAAGCTAAAAGCTGGAGACAATCCAGGTGTCCATTCAGAATAGAATGGGTAAATCAGTGCAGCAGCAAGAATGAGGGAGCTGTAAGTGCTCAGCAGGAATGAGTCTCCCAAATGTGATGTTGAGTGGAAGGAGCCAGACACAGAGGAGCTTATGCTGGAGTCCTTTTATGAAGGTCAACAGGCCATGCATTGAATGATGTGAGGAGTCAGGAGGGGGCTTCATATGGAAGAAAGCCAGGAGAGAGAGAAGTGGGCTGAGGGGCTTAGGCAATGCTTGTATTCATCATTGGTACACTTTTTTAGCTAAGAAACAAGATTGAAAAAATCAGATCAAATTCCAATTAGGGCCCTACCTGGTTTGGCTCAGTGGATAGAGCATCAACCTGTGGACTGAAGGGTCCCAGGTTAGATTCCAGCCAAGGACACATGCCCAGGTTGTGGGCTTGATCCTCAGCAGGGGGCATGCAGGAGGCAGCTGATCAACGATTCTCATCATTGATGTTTTTCTCCTCTCCATCTCTGAGATCAATAAAAAATATATTTTTTTAAAAAATTCAAACTAGGTACTAGTGTTCACCAAATGTACAATTAAAAGCAAAAATGCAAAGTCATAGTGGGAGGAGATATCTATAAGACATGTAATTGACAGAAGGCTTGTATCCAGAATAAGTAAAGAGCTCTTATAAATCAATGAGACAACCCAATAGAAAAATGTACAAGAGACTTGAACAAGAACTTCTCCAAAAAAAGTAGCCAGTTTGTCCCAGTAAATGAAAGGTGCTCCCCCTGAGAGGTCATCATGGAAATACAACTTAGAGCCAGGAGAGGCAACCACAATTCATTTACCAATGGCCGACTCAGGGCCCCAGCCAGTTTGGCTCAGTGGATAGAGTGTCAGCCTGTGGGCTAAAGGGTCCTGGGTTTGATTCTGGTCAAAGGCACATGCTCAGGTTGCAGGCTCGATCCCCAGTAGGGAATGTGCAGGAGGCAGCCAATCATTGATTCTCTCTCATCATTGATAATTTTATCTTTCTCTTGTCCCCTTCCTCTCTTGAATCAATAAAAAAATATTAAAAAAAAAAAAAAAAAAAAAAAAAAACAATGGCCAAAATCCAAGCTGATACACTAAGTGTTGGCAATACTGTGAAGCAGTGAGTTGTAAGTGGGTACGGCCACTTTGGAAACTGGCAGTATCTGTCCATATTCCACACAAGACACCTGTAATCCACATTTCCACATGGAAATGCACGTGTGGAATTCACATCCAGGAACCATCACAGCTTTGTTCATATTCACTCAGATGCACCTGCAGTGAGGTGGGCAAGTCGTGGGCGGCGGTCTCCCAGTGGATGCTGTGCACCAACAGGAGTAACTGCCACTGCCCGTGAGGGGCGTGACCATGAGCGAGAGTGGGGAGAGCCTCCTGTGTTTGTGCGCAGGCAGCTCAGGGCGTCCTTTCAGGGGTTGCAGGTCGGTTTAGTTGGGCCAAGGGAGTGGGCGATCTGTGGTTTTCTGAGAAGCTGTTGATGTTAGTAGATTGTAATTCATCAGGCTGTACTAGACTTGCTACACTTTCCTAGGTAAAATTAATGTTTAAATAGAAAGAGAGCCGAAACCGGTTTGGCTCAATGGATAGAGCGTCGGCTTGGGGACGGAAAGGTCCCGGGTTGGATTCCGGTCAAGGGCATGTACCTTGGTTGCCGGCATATCCCCAGTAGGGGGTGTGCAAGAGGCAGCTGATCGATGACTCTCTCATCGATGTTTCTAACTCTCTCTCCCTTCCTCTCTGTACAAAATCAATAAAATATATTTTAAATAAATAAATAAATAGAAAGAGAAAGTACCCAGAAAAAAATGACAAAGAAATATGTGTTCTATCTGAAAAGGGATTTACTATTGGGGAAATGGAGGGAAGAAGAGACTGAACATAAACTGCACCTATGGACGAGGACAATGGGGGATGGAGAGGGGACAGAGGGTGGGGTGGGAATCTGGTGGAGGGGGGAAGAAATGAGGAACCTTTGTAATAATATGAACAATAAAGATTGATTTTAAAAAAAAAAAGGAAAGAAAAGAAATATGTGTTAATTTTTTAAAAGAAAAACTCTTTCTCATTTGGAAGGACTTGGCTGCTTCCCTGGGACCTCTTCACCTGCCCCTTCCCATCTTCCCGAGTCCAGCCTGGCTGGGGAGGCCGCCTGGGGCTCTGCTCTGACTCTCACTGTCCTGAAGCAGGTCCTGGGAGTGATGTGGCTCTATCTGGAAGGCACACTTGCTCCTCTCCTATCTCTTCCCACCTCCTCCTGCCTTGTGGCCAGTGTTGTTTTTGTAAGCAGTTTTTGGGAAATGCCTGATGACCAGCAAGGTGTTCCAAGTGCAGGGAGATTGATGGGGGGCAGGGAGCCTCATCAGGACATTTTCCTGTAGGACAGCTGTCACCAAAATACATTTCCCTTTTTCCGTGGGGTCTAGGCAAATTTGAACCACCATTATTTCACCCGAACGTGTACCCTTCGGGCACTGTGTGCTTGTCCATCCTCGAGGAAGACAAGGACTGGAGGCCAGCCATCACAATTAAGCAGGTATGCAGCCCGAGGGCCTCGCCTCAACCTTCCTTCAGGACAGTTTGCCTTTTGAACTGCTGATCTCCCACCTTGCTTTGTTTTTCTCTCTCACACAGATCTTATTAGGAATACAGGAACTTCTAAATGAACCAAATATTCAAGATCCAGCTCAAGCAGAGGCCTACACAATTTACTGGTTAGTGATCTGGCCCCTCTCGCCGTGACCTCTCATCAGCTTGCACGGCCTTCCCCAGAAGTCTCCTCTAGGCTGCCTATAGAAGGGGAGCAGTAGGCGAGCTGTGGGTGGGGGGTAGTCCTGACCCTCCCGCAGCCTAGGGGGGACTAAGGTGGCCAGAGCGGCTTCTGAGGAGGAGCTGCATGTGCAAAGGGCCTGTGGTGGTAAGAATGGGCGGACAGGGCTGGTGTGGTTAGCATGTTGGTGGGGCAGTCAGATGACATGGGCGCCTGTTGGACTACTTTGCCCCTCATGGGATATCGCCAGTCAAACCCTGTGCCTCTGGAGCCCAATTCAGCTCAGAGGGAGGGTGTGGAGGAAGAGGCCACCGACCTCCCACTTCTGCCCTCCTTGGGCCCAGCCATACCATAGCCTGGGTATGGTAATTCCAAGGGCATGATCCACTAGGGAAGTGGCGCTCCGACTTGCTCTTGCTCACCTGGGTGCTCTGGAAAAGAGGGCCTGGTATTCTTTAGTGTGAGCAGTGGTGCTAAATCTGGTACGTGGGGCTGGCTGGGTGGACAGGCTCTTTCTGGAATTGCAACGGGTAGGCAGCTCTGAGCTGCTCAGGTGGCCTGCCTTAATCTGTAGAGAAACATCAGGTTGCAAGAGGTGTCCCCTCCCCTCCCCCAAATGGCTTTAAGTTCCTGGATCCAGCCCACTTTTGGCCCGGGGTGCCCCCTGGTGGCCAAGAGTGGCAAGCCGTTCCTGGGCAGGGTCTGAGTTTCTCCTCCCAGCCCCGGGAATTGCTGTAAGTCAGTGTTTCCCAAAGTGTGGTACTCTTACCCCCAGGGGTATGGGAAGAATTTGGTGGGGGTACGTGTTGCACCGGAGCTTGGTGGGGATATGCACTGCACCGTGCTTAGCTGCACCTAATTCTACGTTCTCATGAGTACGAGGGGTACTCAGCGTTACAAAAAATTATAGAAGGGGTACACATGTGTCAGAAGTTTGGGAAACACTGCTGTAAGTGATCCCAATGGAGCTGCTTTGGATTTACTTGGCTGCTGAGCAAGAGCAACTCCAGGAGTTCTCGTATCTTGACCTTTGAACTGGATGCTGTGTAGTTTTCACTGCAACATCTGTCTGCATTAGACCATGTCAGCCTGCGCCTCTGTAGATAGAGCCACTTGGGTTCTTGGTATTTGAGCTGAGCCATTGTGATTGGTCACACGGCCCACAAAGCCAGAGTGTCTTGTTGCTGGCTTAGAGAGCGCCTGCCAGGCTGGGTGTGTGGCAGAGTGGGTGGTACGTTGTGCATGTGCCTCGATGGCGCTCACTGTGTAGTTGTAGTATTGCAGCCTCGCAGCATGGGCTCAGCGGGCCACTGCTGTGTGCCAATGGCTGCTCCCAGTTGGTGCCTACTCAGGATTGGAGCATCTTTTCTGTACTGCGGGCTCCTTACGTGCCAGACGGCATCATACACTTCTTCACAGGAATGAGACATCATTTCCCTGCACGCATCTGGTTTAAAAGCACCTTTTGTGAAATATGCTTACTCTCTTTTTTCAGACCTCTTTTCTTGTGTTTTCGCAAGGTCACAGGGCATGTCCTATACTGGCAGGTGCTCTAGGGCAGACACCCTGTGCCAGACCTCGCTTGGTAAATGGCAGGGCTGGACTGGGCTGCCTCTGCTATTGCCTCCAGCTCCTTCCAGAGCCTTCCTAGCTAGCTGCCTCCACCCTGGGGGTCTGGGCCCTTGGCCAGGGTGGAAGCACAGGAGCACAGACTGCTCACAGCACGGCCTGGGCTGTAGAAGCTTGTCCTCTGGCCTTCACTCTTGGCGCTCTGCCAGGCGTGGTGCTGACACTGGCCTCCTGGGACCGTGTGCACCTGGGCTCCATGCCAGCTCAGGGCAGGCTCCAAGCAAGTTTCTGCCTCTCCTGGTGCTGGCATTGCCGCCTTTGCCCAGAGAGTCTAGGGAGGAAGCCTGGGGTACCGGGTCCTGTCATCTGCACTGGGCAGAGCTAAGAGAAATTCTGCTGGCCCCTCTGTGCCTCAACCCCGGGGCCTGTGCCATGGGCAGGGATCAGTGCTCTGAGAGGCCATACTTGCTGCCAGCACAGCTTAGGAGGAGCCTGGCTTGCTTAGGATATGAGAGCACGCACTGCGCCTGAGCTCCAGGCGGGTTCCTGACCAGCCCCTGAAGCAGTGGCGACACCTCTGACCTGGGGTGTCAAGGAGCCCTGTTCATAAATATCATGTACCCAAGGGCTTCAAGGTCACAGTGCTCCCTGGTGGCAGCTGTCTCTGATGGCAGGTTTGCTGCACTCCCCTGGCCTGGGGCAGTGCCCACTAGCCCCCTTTCCTCGGCAGCTCAACTCACACCAGTCCCAGCGAGGTCCCCCTCCGCCCACTGAAGGCTGCCCCACCTCCACACCTTCACACGGGGACTGAGTGCCCTGGGGAAACTACCCCATGTCTGTCTGTCATCGAAGACTACATGAGCAGTCCATGTTTTCTCCAGAATGACTAGCGCTGTTTCAAACAGGAGAGACCTGCTGGTCACTGGTTAGACTGAACTTCCAGCCCAGCTATTCTAACCTGTCTCTCTCTTGACCTCCTCAGCCAAAACAGAGTGGAATATGAGAAAAGGGTTCGAGCACAAGCCAAGAAGTTTGCACCCTCATAAGCAGCGACCTGCGGCAACATCAAAAGGAAGGGATTGGTTTGGCAAGAACTTGTTTACAACATCTGCAGATCTAGCATTGCTCTATTCAATTACTAGTCACCTAGGGGAGGTGGGCGGGCGCCATTTTCCATTTCCGCCACTGGCACACAGTTCTCCACTTGCTGAATGCCCAGTTTTTCATACAGGGTCTCTTCCTTCAGTCTTTTGTATTTTGATTGTTATGTAAAACTTGCTTTTATTTTAATATTGATGTCAGTATTTCAACTGCTGTAAAATGATAAACTTTTATACTTCAATGAGTCCCTGAGGAGCTAGTTCCCTTTGCTCGCGGGTGCGGCATGCTTCCCCTGTCAGAGCTACACTACCCTCCAGCTGGCTGTAAGAACAGGAAATCAGCCTGTTCCCTTCCCTCGCGCCTCTGTCCTCTCCGCAGAACCCGGGTTGTGTTGCTATAAGCCTCAGATCCAAAGTCAGCCAGCCTCTTGTTTTCACATCACTTCCTTTGTGTTTATATGGCGTTCTGTCTGTGTTGCTGTTTAGAGTAAATAAACTGTTTATATAAAGGTTTTTGTTGCATTATTGTCATTAAAAGTATGAGGAGGCAGCCTCAGGGGGTGTCTCCCCACCCCCCTTCCACAGCTGCAGGCCCCACAGAGCACCGCCTTCGGCCCCAGCAGGTCTCGCTGCCTGTTCCTGGGTCCTGCACGGCACCTGTGCTGGTCCTTTGTAAATAGTGCTGTGTACAGAGCTGATGTGTGTCCGGGGTTTCTGTCCACCCCACCTGGGCCTTTGGGCTACAGAGCACTGGAGTTCAGATCTGGTCAAGTTGGAATTTGTGCCGAGACTTCTAAAGCGCACTCTGCCTGAGCCATCAGGAGGAGATGCCTAAACCCAGGCCAGGGTGGCTGAGCCATGGCATGTAGCCTCACATCTGGCACTGCCCTTGGGCCTCTGCATGTAGCATCCTGGCCCTCCAGGCTCACTGCATTAGTCCCCACCCCTGGGTGCAGGTAGTCTCAGGCACCGGGCCACCCCCAGCCAGCAGCTCCGAGGGCCACTGTCTCTTGTTCTTTCTGTTTCCTGAAACGCTCTGAACCTGGTAGCCCAAGGAGGCTGCTCGCCCCAGAAAGAACCCTGGAACATGAGCCCACGATGGATCTTCCAGGAGTCCTGAGTCCTGGCTCTGGGGAAGTACGTACGTGAAGACAGGAAGTGACAGAAGGGGACCTGGCCTCTGGGTCCCAGTGAGCACAGAGCTGACAAGTACAGAGGTCCAGAACTGGCCCTGTATCAACCAGCCTCACCCTCCCACCAAGGACCCTTGTCAGAACCAGGCTGCCTGTGGTTCTGGCATACAGACTGAGGCGGGGATGGTCCCCAAAGGGATGAGGAACACAAGGAGAGCTGGTCAGCCAGGAAGGGGTGCTTCGGTTCACCCTAAGAGATGTGGCCCCCTCAGCCGACAGCATGGCCCGAGGGCCCAGTGCCTTGTTCACTTGTTTAGCTGGACGTCTGTTGGGTTTCTGAGCTCTCGGTTTGATGTTCATGATGATTTCTGATGCAGAGGGTCTTATGCGGGGGGTGCAGTGGGTCATATGTGTATAGCCCCTCCCAGAATGTCTTATTTTGTAATGACTGAATTACACTTAGTAATAGTTACACATGTATATGGTTAATATATATGGAAATGCAATATATTTTCTAGTTAAAGCATTCTAAAGTAATCGATGTTTCTAGCACATTGTTGTGACTTTGGCTAATGAAATGTCCTTTTGTGCCACAGTTCTTGGCTTAACAAAGATGTGAATCTTGTAACAGGAGAACTTGAAATGTGATCATTCTGTTTCTACTGTAAGGGAAGAGAGTTGTGTTCCCAGCATGAGGCGCCTAATTAGTGAGGAATTGTGGGCAATAGATTAACCACTGTATCTAAGAATCCTCTAATTAAAACATTTCCACAAACTGCTGCCTGCAGGGTGTGTCCTTTTCCTGCTCCCTCCCACACAGGCCACCCCCTGCTCACTATTGCTGTGGTCAGGGGAGGTAGGCCTCTCCATGGCTCCAGCATTAAGCCCTCGGTGACCCAGGGGTGGGGGTGATGTCCCCTGGTGCCTGTGGTCAGATCCCTCCTGTGCCCTCTGAGACCCTGGCATGGGCAGGCAAGGCTGGCACACATCTGTGCTGGCCACGGGCCTTGGCCTGCTGGAGCATGGCCTCCCAGCTGGGGACCTGGGGCTGTGCTTGTCAGGGCGCCATCCTCAAGGCCAAGGTGCACACAGGCTCTCAGTTCACCCTGATGGGGCCTCTGGGACGTTGTGTCCAGGGCTGGAGGGGGCTTGGGCTGGCCATCGCATGGGTGCAGAGCAAGGAGCCTGACCACGGTGGGATGGACTAGCTAGTCCTCAGACTCCATCTCCCCAGGGATGACTGCTCAGAGGCCCAAGGCATCTGGCCAGACTGTGGGTCCCCTGTCCTTCCTGGACTGCCCTGGCTGGGCCGCTGCTGTGTCCTCACACCTGTCTGCCCACGCAGGCCACATTGCTCCCCGACCTGCTGGCCCAAGGCCTTCCCACATCGGGCCCTGCCATGAGCCGCCTCCAGTTTGAGACCGAAGACAAGTTGGCAGGTTGGAGGCTCACAGTCCTGAGTCAGCTTCCGCTAGGAGGCTGAGGGCACCTGTGCGGCTGGGATCCAGGAGATGCAGGCTTCCAGCACTGTGACCCCATCGGGGGAGGCTGTGGGCCCAACGGGGCAGGAGCACAGGGTCCCATCCTCCCTGCTGCTCCCAGGCCCCACAACAGGCTCCGTTGGGCCCAAAGTCTCCGGCCTCTATTAGGAGGCCGTTTTCTCCGATCTAGAAGAAAATACAGCAGTCACAGAGCACAGACCCAGGCTCCTCACTCCTGGGCTCTGCCCTTCCAGGTGCCCACCCACCCCTTCTTGCAGGATGCCCTCCTGCAGAAAGGTCAGCTGGGTGCTCCTGCTGCCCTTTCCATTCCTCCAAGGAGGAAGGACTTGGAGCCCTCAGAGCCCGGGACCCGGGCATCTCAGCCCTCAGCTGTGCAAAGAATGATGCCTGTTCTGTGGGGGAGCCGGGTGCTGAGACTCAGAGGGCCATGGGAGGACCCGGACTGCCAGGAGGCGGGGCCTGCAATTCCTAGGACTGCCCCCAGAGAGTGAGCTGGTGGCTTAGTTAAGCCTGTAGTGGGGGGAGGGGTGGGCTCACAGGTGTCCTCTCCTGTGCCAGCCAGCCTTCCTCGGCTCCACATTGGCCTTCATAGTGCTTATCCAGAGCCCGTGTTTTTCTCCTGGCCCTAGGAGGGAAAGCTGCCACCGCCCCCCCACACACACACACACACCTGCCAGGAACTTTCCTGTCAGAAGCCTGGAGGGTATGACCCCCACGTCCCCACCAGCTCCACAGAGCCCAGACCTCCAGGCAGAGTGTTGTGCCCTACCACCTGCTGTGATGAGACCCTTTCTCCCCCGCTCCCCACCTCCAAAGCCGGGCATCTGGCTCTGCTCCCCAGGACCCCTGGGGCAAAAGCCAGGGTGACACTGACTCAAGTGGGCCTGACTTCAGCCTCAGAACAGGTGGGGAGAATGAAGGGATCAGCTACAGATGGGACCTTCGCTCCAGCCCCTGGAAGTGTGTGTGGAGGGAAGTCCTGGGGCTCATCCTTTCCGAGGGAAACAGGCTCAGGGCTGAGCTTGGCACCCAGCCTGTTGCTGTGTGGCCCTAGACTAGCCCTTTCCCCTCTCTGGGCCTCGGTCCACTTGTCTACAGAGAATGGTGGTGGAGTCTGGGAGGAGGGAGGGGAGGCTCCTGCCATCTGGCTAGTTCATTAGTGTCAGGGCTGGTGCCTCTTATGCCACTGGCCCCACCCCTGGATCCCCCAGGGCATGGGTGGGTGGTGCAAGCCGGGGCCTCCTCCCCTAGCAGCAGCCCCTCCTAACTTCCTGTTTACAGCCGCTACAGAGTCTCAGTTCTTCCTCCCAAGCCATTATAATCACCATGGCAACCGGACTGCTGTTTGTTCCAACAGGTTGATAAAATCTGACATACAATTGCAGGGATGGGGGTACCAGTTCCAAGATCCTGGCGCAGGACCTGCCGGTCCCCCAGGGAAGGACGAGCTGCTCTCATACCCACTGCTGCACCCTGCAGAAGGAAGCCGGGGAGCGGCTGGTGGCACGGAGTCCAGGCCCTCTCTCCTGCTTCCATGATTCATCTCTGTCCCAGGCAGTCCATGCATATCCTGAACAGCCTCTGCCCTCATCTGTCTGGCTGTGCTGGGTCAGGGTGGAAGTAGGGCCTCTGGACAGAGCTGATAGGAAAAGGTAACCTGCAATTCTGTCCGCCCACCCCCCCTCCCAAACCCTGCAATGCAGTCTCTAGCAGTCTCTAATCCCCTGCAGTGCTCTCTCTCTCTCTTTCTCTTTCTCTCTCCCTCTCTCTCTCCTTCTCTCTCTCACACACACGGTAGTATAATAGTTCTTGGTTTCATCCTACAAGGATGGGTGGGTATATGGCAGCAAGGTGTGAGTCTGGATCTGGAAGCTGCGACAGGCGGCAGCCCCATCAGAGAGAGGCCCCCCCCTCCCTGTGTAAGGGGAGCAGCGCCCTGTGGGTGGGCGATTCGCTGAAAGATGCGGTGGTTAAGGCCGGTGCCTCCCTCCGTGAGCTATGCTCTGGAGCCCGGTTACTCCGGCCTTTGGGTCTCCCGTCAGCCTGCCTGGCCCCCGGCCATCCCAGAGAGAACTGTCCTTGCCTCTGAGCCTGAACTGTGGGTCCAGGCTTGTGTTTCTGTCCTCTAAGGTGAAAACCCCAAATCTCCGTCTGATCCTCAAGGACAAGGTCCTATGAGGATCCAGCAGGGTAAGCCCAAAGCAGGGCTGGGACCTAGAGACCCTGTGCGCGCCTCCGGAGCAGAACGTCTGCCCAGCCCCCCGTCCTCCGTGTGGCCCCCACGCCCGGCAGCAGTGGAGCTTGTGGAAATGCAGACGGCCCGCCCTGACCCAGACTTTTGGAATCAGTAGCGTTGGGGTGGGCCAGCAATCTGTGTGAACCAGCTCCCCAGGTGACTGAGGTCAAGTTCCAGGGTGCTGTGTGGGTATGGAGTGGGGAGCCCAGAAAGGGGCCCTAAAAGTGGGCTGGGGAAGGCGCGGGTGGGGTCCAGCGCAGGCCCTGGGGTTCCTTCCACAGGCTGTGTGACCAGGACTGTGGCTCCACCTGGGGAGCATGGGCCTCATCTGGAGCATGGGCACAATCACCTCAACAGGTAGTCAGGCTCGCTGTGGGGTATCCCGGGCTGATGAGTGCAGCACCCCTTGCCCCTGGTGTGGACTCCCCTCTTTGAGAGGAGGGAGCTGTTAGGCCCGAGGTGGCCAAGTCCCCAGACCCAGGCCTGCTCCAGGTGGCCCCAGGGGACAGCGCCGGGCTGGGAGGATGGCGGGAGGTGGCCGCACAACTCTTTCCCAAAAATCTCCTGTTGGGTTTCGATGACTCTGGCCTGGGGAGGAGATCCTGACGCAGAGCTGAGCCTGCTTTCAGGTCGGCACCAACCGATGGGTTGACTGACATCTCTGCGCCCCGGTCCCTGGGGGAGGGAGCGCCCTGGCCCGGCCCTGGGGGAGCAGGACCCTCGCCCGCAGGGACCCTCGCCCGGCCTCGCTCACTGGGGGACGCGGGGTGCAGGGAGGAGGGGAGGGGAGGGGGCGCGGGGTGGGCCGCGGGGGCGGGGCGAGCGGCCAGGTCCCGCCCCCTCCCCGGCCGCAGCCGCGGTGGGTCAGCTGCGCTCAGTCGTCGGCGCGCCTGGCTGCGAGCGGCCGCTGTCCGGGTGCCCGGGAGTGTCCGAGTGAGAGGGGGGCCCCGGGGACCCCATCCCCGCCCGCAGGACCCCAAGCCTACGGTGAGTGTTGCGGCTCCATCTCGCGCCGTCGAAGCTCGGCCGGCGCCCACCTTGATGGACCTGGGACGCCGACCCCCTCAACTCCTGCGTGGGCACCTCCAGGCGGCATCGGGCGGCCCCCGGACCGGGGAAACTGAGGCCGGTGCGAGCTCGCAGGAGCGGGTCTCCAGCATTTCCACCCGCGCCCGCTGTGCGCCCTCCCCGCGGGGAGCACAGGAGCCGGAGGAGCCGGAGGGGTCGGGGGAGGGGCGCCGGCCAGCCTGCCGCGGGGGTGGGTCGGGCTGGAGACCCTGAAGACGCTCTGCGGCGTTTCCCAGGCAACTGGCCGGAAGGAAGACGCCCCCCACACCTTCTACCCCCCCCCATCCCCTCACGCTCCTCCTGGGACCCTGGCCTCCCCATCCCCTTCACCTACCCCAGGCTGCTAGGGGGTTAAGAATATACATGCTCATCTGATCATCTTCCGAACTCCCTGGACCACCGTCCTCCCCCCCCCCATTGGGGGAAAGACCCCTACAAAACCGGTGGGGGCCCCTGCTCCCGTGGGCAGCCCGGAGGCGGCAGGAGGGAGGGGTCAGTGAGGGAAGAAGGGGGTGGGGGGATGCTGCATGGAGAACGTTGCGTCGCAACAGGTGAGTAAGGACGGGTAAGCGGGGACCTCGAAGGAATAACGGGGTGAGATTTTTTTTCATGCGTTCGTTCCAGAAGCATCTAGCTGCCCTGGACAGCTGGTCTTAGGCTTCAAAGCTCTAAGGACACCTGCAGAGCTGGTTAAAATTCAGACCCTAGGCCCCTCCCCCCAGGGAGTAGGTTGGGATGAGTCCCCAGGGAGCAGCGTTTTGAACGGGCATTGCCCTGGGGGGTGCAGGGCAGCCCAGTCTGGGATGGGAAGTCATGGAGGCTGGGAGAGAGGGGAGCCAGGAATCAATGGAAAAGCGGGAAAGGGGGGGGCAGGGGCCAGGCAGGGAAGAGAAGACCAGGAAGATGGAGTGGAGAACTAGCGTGTGAGGCCAGACATCCTGCCACTCCCTGCCCCTACCCCTAGGTCCTTCTCCCCGGGACCTGGTTACTGTGAGAAGAGCACCCAGTGCTCAGAAGGTGTTTCCTCCCGCTGAGGATGCCCGCTGGCCACTGGGGACTCTGACTGAGGAGACCCTTCTGGCTTTTGGGTTCAGCTCAGCTGCCCCAGACTCACCTGCATCAGAACCACTGAGGGTAGCAGAGAGAGCCTGGCCCGGAGCCTTGGGTTTGAATCCTGGCTCTGAGCAGGGCTGGGCCGTGCAATGGGCATCCACACTGCAGAACTGTCATTTCCCAGCCAACCCGGGCCTTAAAGACAGCCAGGGGACCAAGCAGGCCTGACCGTTTGGCTTGTCCCAGGGCTACCACGCCTGGCCTCAGTTTGCTTGTTGGACCTGAGGGAGCTGTGACTCCAGCCCTGGTGCCTGGGCACAAGCAGGGATGTTCTGTGCTGCTGCCCATGGCCCATTGGGACCCATCACACAGGCTCCGATGCCAGGCTCACTCCTGCCCCGTATGGGCTCTGAGGCCTTGGCAGCCAGTGAGTGCTTTCGGGGGGAGGGGGTGGCCACACGCCCACTGTCGAAGCTCTGGGTGAGGTGCTGGCTGGCTCCCAGGGCCAAGGCTGTTGGGTGCCACGAGGTCATCGCCTGCCCAGGCAGCCCAGGATGCCAGGAGTACCTGCGGGGTCTCCGAGCTCTCAGAATGAGCCACCACTCCCTGACGCCTGTGCCCAAAAACACCTCTGTTGCCCTCATCTTGGCCATGGGCTGAGGGAGTAAGGAGGTACCGGTCAGAGACCCCAGGACTCAGGTTGCCAGGAGCTTAGTGCTTGGACACAGAAGTCGGGGGGACCTGGCCTCCACCTCGGGCTACCTGCTGGCCTTGGCAGCTTCCACACCCAGGGGCCTCAGTTTCCTCAACCAGAGGAGGGGAACAGAGCGGCACCCCCTTCTGGGGGCACCCCTCTCCGGGCTGAGCATCATGCAGTGAGGTGCTCCCCTCCGCCACCTTGGGCGTCTGGTTCTCAGACACCTCCATCCCTGCAGCTCGGGCCGCTGGGCTCCTGCGTCACGTTTGTCTGAGCTGTAGAGCCCCTGTAGCCCCTGTCACAGGCAGACGCCGAAGCTGGCGGTTGCCCTGGCAACAGCTCAAGCAGCAGCCGCTCCTCCGGCTTTGGGGGCTGCAGAGGGAGCAGCCCTTCCACGCCAGTGAAAAGGACGGTGGCCCCCTGCCCGGGCTGAGGACTCAGGCCAAGTGACTCGGCACAGTCCAGGGTGGGAGTGGCCTCCGGGGCCCCTGCCCTCGCACCTCCTGCCTCTGGTGGCCATGACAGTGCCGGCCATCTCTTTCCCAGAGGGGCCCTCGCCTCCCGCCTCAGGCCGTTCCCAGGGTCCTGGCTTCTGTTGGTTTTGGGTTCATTTAGTCGTCGCTAAGATGCTTATTGGGGACCGAGCGGCGATGCCCTGAACTCATGGGGGAACAGGTGCCGGGAAGGCACAGCCCTGCTCCCTGCCCGCAGGCGCCCGCCATGTCCGCCTTACTGGAGATCAAGAGCAGCGTGCTCAGGCAGGTGCAGGTCTGCCCGTCCTTCCGCCGGAGGACCGAGGAGGAGCCGGGGAGCGCCGGTGCCGACCCGCAGGAGCCTACAGCCGCCGGGGCCTGGTGGGTGTCCCAGGGCCCAAGAGAGCCCAGGAGGGTCTGTGCCCAAGAACATGGGGTGCCCTGTGGCCACACGCTGTGATGTCGCGTGGGCTGGTGGCTGGTCCTGAGCCTTGGGAGGGTCTGCTGGTCCCACGCCTGTCCTTTCTCGGCAGGAAACCGGGGGATGGGGTGGAGTTCTTCACCCAGATGCGCCTCATCCTGAAGAAGGGGGAAGGCAGACGGAGCCTGCCATGCCCTGAGGTGAGGATGGAGCTTGGACACTGCTGTGTACACGGGGGGCAATGTGCCAGGCCTCCTCACCTGCCCCCTCCACATCTGGCCTCCATCCCTCCATTCCCTCCCTGGGTCACCCCCCACCCAGCCAGCCACAGGACCCCCACCATCGGAGACCCTCACCCCAGCACCCCCTCTTAGGTCCTATTGCGCAGCAACTCACCAGCCCCCGCCGAGCCTGCGGACCCCAACCGTGGCCTGAGAGCCCTGACCCAGGAGGAGGTAAGAGGGGTGGGGTGAGGCTGTGAGCACCTATGTGTGCCAGGCTCAGAGTCTGGGTGTCTGGGGGGGGTGGGCCAGGCCTCCCCATTCAGGTGAGCGAGGAGCAGAGGTCAGGGATGAGTGGGAGCCCCCAGCAGAGGGCTAGGCAGTGCCAAGGCCCTGAGGCAGAGAGTGGACGTCTGCCTGTGGGAGGAGCTGCTGAGGGTGGGGCGGGACACATGGAGGGTGGGCCCACGGGGAGACGGGGACTGAGGATGTGCTCCCCGCACCGCCCACAGGTAGAGATGCTCTATGAGGAAGCCCTGTACACCGTCCTCTACCGAGCGGGAACCATGGGCCCCGACCAGGTGGACGACCAGGAGGCCCTCCTGAGCTACCTCCAGCAGGTGAGCCCCCTGGGAAGGAATGGGACCACTGCCACCGCTGACGTCACTGCCAATCACCTGAACAGCACACATGTGTGCACCATGTATACAACATACACATACGTGTATGTGCACAGACAGACACGCATACAGGCTGACTGGCACCCCAGAAGGATGGGCACATACACACACACACACAGACACACAAAAGGGTAGAAAGGACAGGCAGACATCCCTTTTCTCTCACCTGTGTGCTGCCTCCACCTGTGACATTTGCAGTCAGGCATCCTGTCTGGGGCCATGCCTGGGGTCCCCACGGTGAGGGCCAACCCAGTGGGGCCCTCACACCTGCTTGCCCTCCACAGGTGTTTGGCACCAGCACCGAGGAGCATGCAGAGGCCACTGAGAGGGTGAAGAAGGCTAAGGTGAGGCTGCCACCTGCCTGTGCAGAGCTGACCATCCACATGCCCACGTTCAAGGACTTGGGTGGAGGGCACAGGGCAGGGCTGAATCCCTAGAGGCTCCCCAGCACCTCCCTGCCCACAGGCCCCCACATATGCCCTGAAAGTGTCCGTCATGCGTGCCAAGAACCTGCTGGCCAAAGACCCCAACGGTGAGTGAGGACTGGCCCGGTTACTGCGGAGAGGAGGGCCTGTGATCAGGGACTGAGGCTCCTCTGTGCCCCAGGCTTCAGTGACCCGTACTGCATGCTGGGCATCCTGTCGGCCTCGGGCACCCCCCGGGAGCCGGGTCCCCACAAGGAGCAGCGCTTCAGCTTCCGAAAGGCTGCCAAGCGTGGCAGCCCGCTGCCAGCTAAGTGCATCCAGGTCACCGAGGTCAAGAGCAGCACCCTGAACCCCGTCTGGAAGGAGCACTTCCTCTTGTAAGACCCCTCCCCCAGCAGATGGTCAGGAAGGCATGGCCTGCAGGCCAGCCCAGCCCCGGGGTACACGGGGTGGCTGTGGCCAGAGGGTGGCCACTGTAAGCAGTCTCAGTGCCCACCTAGGAAACCAGGGGGGCTTCACATGCCCACTTGCTAGCGGGGAAACTACGTCTCAGAGAGATTCGTGTCCTCAGGGTCACGCAGTCTGTCATGGACTCTTCCCCGTGTTTCCTAAAGTGGTCCCTGCCCTGCCCTGGCAGGCCCTCACGGATGTCTCTGTTTTCCTTGTAGTGAGATTGAGGATGTCAGCACGGACCAGCTGCACCTAGACATCTGGTATAGAGCCTGGGCCCTGCAGGCAGGGGGTGTGGGTGCCTCCGAGCGGAGGGTGGTGGGAGGGGGCACTCAGGGCTGGGCTGGGCTCGACAAGCCGGGTGCCCCCTTCCTCAGGGACCATGACGATGATGTGTCCCTGGTGGAGGCATGCAGGAAGCTAAATGAAGTCATCGGCCTGAAGGGCATGGGCAGGTACTGCGGGCGGGATTCTTGTGCCCTCCCAGGGGTGGTGGCTCCCCAGAGACCTCACGTGTGATGCCTGCCCTGCTGTGCTCAGGTATTTCAAACAGATTGTCAAGTCAGCCCGTGCGAATGGGAAGGCCGGGCCCACCGAGGACCACACTGATGACTTCCTGGGCTGCCTCAACATACCCATCGGGGTGAGTGGGTGCAGAGGCTTCGCTCACGGAACACCTGCTTGCGGGTGCCTCTGCTCCTGGCGTACTGCCAGTGGCTGTGTCCTGTAATCCCCCCCCAAGTCTTCCATCCTTCTTGGGCCATGGGGGGAAACGTCATTGAAGGGGGTCAGGGCCAGTCTCCTTAGGACTCTGTCCGGGCACCCCGAGTGCTCACTTGTGCTAGTCACCCCAGTCCGCTGGGAGGGAAGCGTGGAGGCCCGTGTTCTCCCCACAGCCCCAAAGCATCCGAGAAATCGCCGTTCTGACTCCCCTTCCTGCAGGAGGTGCCCGTGGCTGGCGAGGACCGATGGTTCAAGCTGGAACCACGCTCCAGCGCCTCCCGCGTGCAGGGAGACTGCCAGCTCGTGCTCAAGCTGATCACCACGCAGGTGGGGAGCTGTGGGGAGCCTGGGGACCTCAGCCCTGCACCCCAGCCCCGTGGCTTGGGCACCTGATGAAGGGCCCTGTGTTCCAGAGGGACACGCGCATGAGCCAGCGCGGGCGGTCGGGCTTCCTGTCCTATCTGCTGTTGCTCAGCCGGCTGCTGCAGTTCGAGCACCGAGCCGAGGAGGTAAAGGCGCCCTCGGGTCCCCGCTGCAGCTGGGCGCGGCCTGGGGAAGGCAAGCGGGAGGGGATGGGAGTCTCCCACCTCCACCCACGCCCGGTCCCTCCCCCAGCCCAACTCCAGCAGCTGGCGGGGCGAGCTCAGCGCGCCTGCGGCCACTGTGCTCTGCCTGCACGGCGCTCAAAGCGACCTGTCTGCTCTGCAACTGGCGGTGCTGTGAGTGGGCGGGGCATGAGCGGGCCACTCCCACAAGTGGGTGGGGCGAAACAACAATGGGCGGGGCGGGTCCATTAGTGGGGCGGGGCATGGGCAGGCCACTCCCGGGAGTGGGCGGGGCGCGGTGGTGCCATTGGCTGGACGGGGCAGGAGCAGACCACTCCCATGATTGGGCGGGGTGTTGCCATTGGCTGAGCTGGGCATGAGAAGGCCACACCCACGAGTGGGCGGGGCGCTTGGAGGTCTCTTGGACGTGGGGTCCTGCCCGACGCCTCTGCCCTGGCTCTGGGCTTGGGGCGCCCCGCAGGCACTGGCAAGTCAGCAGCCGCCACCATCAGACCTGCACCCTGGACTACGGCTACCTGCTGGGGCTGCTGGAGGACATGCAGGCGCACTGGGAAGAGGCGGCCTCCCTGCCCCAGGAGCAGGTGCGATAGGGACGGGTTGCAGGAGGGTCATGCCTGTGAGCAGGTGAAGAGCAGAGGGAGTTCTGGGCGCTGCAGAGACAGAGCGGAGGGAGCAGCGGTGGTGCAAACGCCAGGCGGTCGGTGCCGCTAGGGGAGGCGGTGGAGTCTGGGGTGGGAGAGGGCAGCAGGATGAGGTCAATCGGGCTGGAGGCTGTTCCTCAGGGCAAAGCTGAGCTGACTCGCTGTCCCGGCCCCGGTGGAGGAGGGAGGGGTGGAGGGACCTGAGGAGTCAGTTCTAAAGGGCCCTGTGCCCGCCCCCAGGAGGAGAGCCTGGCCGACAGCTTCTCTGCCTTCTCCGAGTTCGCGCTGCGGCTGCTGCGCCAGCTCCGGGACTACTTCCCCGCCGCCAACAGCACGGCCATCCGCCGCCTGGAGCTGCTGCTGAAGTGGGTGCAGCTGCCAGCGCCCGTGGGGGAGGGAACCAGGTGGGGCAGCCACCAGTCAGCTGTGGCTCCTCCACCAGGTGTCTGGACAAGCTGCAGCTCTTCCAGCCTTCCTTTGAAGTCTGCCCCTTCGAGACGGAGCTAAACACGGACATCACTGCTGCCCTGAAAGTGCGTCTTAGCCTGGTCCGGGCCCGGCCTGCCCCTGCCCAGCACCCCTCCGCTGCCAGTGCCCCACCTTCTGGCCCTGGCCCTGCTCTAACCAGGCCCTCTGCCCTTCTGCTCCCCTCCCACACTGCCCCCACGGCTTTCCTGGCAGAGAGGAAACCGGGAATGGTTTGACAGACTCCTGAACGCCAAGAGTCCTCGCGAGCAGGTACCCCTCAAAGAGGGTGTGGCCATGGGGGTGGGGGGGAGGGGAGTGTGGCAGGTGGGCGCAGGCCAAAAGGTCAGCCTGGACAGTGTGAGCCCTGTTTCCTTGCAGCCGGGACTGCAGCGACTTGCTGGGCTGGTGGAGCTGGTTGACGCCATCTATGAGGACCTGCAGTCCTGCTACAGCATCTATGCCAGCCTCTTCCACAGGTGGCACCCAGGGCTCCTCCGGACGCCCACACCCAGCCCCCCACGTGCTGCCACTGGGGCCAGGGCCGGGTGAGCAGGTGTCTGAGGTGTGTCTTTTGCAGCATCATCAAGATCGACTTCTTCACCCTCACCTTCCGGCAGCTGGAGCGTCTGGTGAGGCCGGGGGGTTGGGGGAGAGGCTCTCTGGCTGGGAAGGACCTGGTTTCCTCGCTGCTGGCAGCTTGACCCCACCGTTCTGGGCAGGTCGCTGAGGAGGTGTGGGTACTGACGGAGGACCTGAACTCCAAAATGACCCTCGAGGTGGCATCCCGGCTCTTCGAGCTCTACCTGTCCCTGGCAGACATCCAGCGCTTTTGGGGCAGCATCCTGGGCCGGTGGGTGTCCTGTCCCTGACCCCTCCCTTCCCCGCTCCACCACCTACTCCCTCCCTCCACTTCCCCCCTCCTTACACCTGTTCCGCTCCCGCACCTGCCCCTCTCCCGTGTTCTCTAGTTTCCTCCTGGAGGGCCCTGGAGCAGGAGGCTCTCGTGGGTACCCCTAAGGTCAGGGGCCCTCGGCCATGCCAGCTCGGGGTGCCTGAGGCGGGCGTGCTCTGACTGGCTGCCTCCTGCTGCAGGGACAGCCGCTCCCTGGCCCTGGTCGGCATCCACGTGCCATTCCTACCTGCCGTGAAGCTTTGGCTGCAGGTGCTGCGGGACCAGGCCAAATGGAGGCTTCAGGGAGCTGTTGACGTGGACACAGTGAGTGAGCACCTGGCTCGAGGGTCCTGGGACCCATCCAGGGCCCCCCGAAACCCAGGCTGCCTTTCGCCTTTCCAGCTGGAGCCGATGGAGAACTCCAAGCATAGCAGCTCGGCGGCCACTGCAAGCCTCTGCTTCAGCCACATCCAGGAGCTGTGGACCTGCTTAGCGTGGCCAGACCCCGTCCAGGCCCAGGGGCTGGGCACCCAGCTTAGCCAGGTGAGAACTGCAGCCCGAGAACAGGCCGGGGTCTGCAGGGACGGCAGGGCCAGGGGTGGCCACAGCTCTCGCGCCCCCGTGTCCCACCAGGACCTGTGTGAGGCCGCCCTCTTCTACACTCAGCTGCTGCGGAAGAAGGTGGATGCTCAGCCCCGGGCCTCAGGCGAGGCAGTGAGCGAGCCGGTGCGCGGGGCTGGCAGGCGGGCGGATGGGGGTAGGAGGTGGGTGGGGCCCCCACATGACCACAGGAACACTCACCTTCTCCCAACCCCCCCACCCCCCCCAACACACACCCTCTGGCTCCTCTCCAGCTCTGCGTGGTCCTCAACAACGTGGAGCTCCTGCGCCGGGCGGTCGGCCAGGCACTGCGAGGCCTGGCGTGGCCGGAGGGGGCCGCGGGGCCCACAGGAGGGCTGCCGCGCGCCCTGCTCAACTGCACGCAGGCCCTGGACGAGGACCTGCAGCGGGAGGCCTGCACGGTGACCGCGCACCTCACCTCCAAGGTGGGCAGGGAAGGTGGGATAGGGACCGGCTCCCCCCCCCCCCGCCCCCCCGGCTCCCCGCTCCCCTCCGTGCTGAGCGCTGCTCTCCCTCAGATGGTGGGTGACATCAGGAAGTACGTGCAGCACATCAGCCTCTCGCCTGACTCCATCCAGAACGACGAGGTGAGTGCTTGGCCGGCTGAGGGTTCAGCCCGGTGGTGGTGGTGGGGTGTGTGTAGGAGGGGGACCCAGGTGCAGTCTGGCCCTGAGGATCCTCCCCGCAGGCCGTGGCCCCGCTCATGAAATACCTCGACGAGAAGCTGGCCCTGCTGAACGCCTTGCTGGTGAAGGAGAACCTGAACAGGTACGGGCTGGGCCGGGGGAGCGGGGCGGGCCGGGGGCCAGTCACCGAGGCCGTGTCCCTGCAGGGTGCTGGAGGCCCTCTGGGAGCTGCTCTTGCAGGCCATTCTGCAGGCGCTGGGCACCAACCTGGACGTCTCTGCCGACTTCTACAGCCGCTTCCACTTCACCTTGGAGGTAGGGCCTTGTGGACGTGCCCCCTCTGCTGGGCTGCAGGGGGAAAGGCCGCCGCCCTCCCCTGCGCCCCGCTGCCCCAGGCCAAGGTGCACGGCTTGCCAGGTCTGGACAGCCCTTCCTCTAAGCACCCACAGGGCAGCCTGGGTCAGCAGCACCTGCGCTACCTGTTAAGGCAGTGCCTGGCCGCCGGCACCAGCATTTCCCAAGCTTCTGGGGGCTTTTGCTATGACAGGTGTGACAGCTTCTGGTGTGACAGGTGGCTCTGCCCCGGGCTCCTAAGATCCTGGCGCAATGCAAACTCAAGGCTCCACCTGTCTTGGTCCTCCGTCCCCAGCACATCCCACAGCCTCACGCCTCTCCCTTCTTGCCCTCCCTAGGCCCTGGTCACCTTCTTCCACGCAGATGGACAGGGTCTGCCCCTGGAGAACCTGAGGGACGGAAGCTACAAGGTGAGGCCTGACCTGGGCCACGGCCCTGCGCCAGCCCCCGGGCCTCAGGGAGGAGCTGGCGCCCACCTTCTCCCCTCTCCCCGCAGAGGCTGGAGGAGGAGCTGCGCCTGCACAAGTGCTCCACCCGCGAGTGCATCGAGCAGTATTACCTGGACAAGCTCAAGCAGGTACGCGGTGCGGGAGTGGGCACGGGACCTCGCCCCGGAGCCCACGGCCGATCGGGCTCACGGGCCCCGCCCTCTCGCAGAGGTCGCTGGAGCATAACCGGTGCGGGCGCCTGAGCGTGCGCTGCTACTACGAGGCCGCCGAGCAGCGGCTGGTGGTGGAAGTGCTGCACGCCGCTGACCTGCTGCCCCTGGACGCTAACGGTAAGGGGCAGAGGCGCGGCCAGGCGGGCCAGGCCAGTGGGACGGTGGCAGTCTGCTCACAGCCCTGTCCCCCAGGTCTGAGCGACCCCTTCGTGATCGTGGAGCTGGGCCCCCCGCACTTCTTCCCGCTGGCCCACGGCCAGAGGACCCAGGTCAAAAGCCGGACGCTGCACCCCGTGTATGACGAAGCCTTCTACTTGTGAGTGCTGCCCCGCCTGCCCGCCGCCCGGCCCAGCAGGGAGCGGGGCTCCCGTGACCGCTCTGCCCCCTGCAGCTCCGTGCCAGCAGAGGCGTGCCGCCGCCGAGGTGCCTGTGTGCTCTTCACCGTCATGGACCACGACTGGCTGTCCACCAACGACTTCGCCGGGGAGGCGGCTCTCGGCTTGGGCGGCGTCGGTGGCATTGTGCGGCCCCAGGTCGGGGGGAGCACGAGGACTGGGCAGCCCATCACCCTGCACCTGCGCCGGCCCAGAGCCCAGGGTAAGGGGGGGAACCAGGGTGGGGGCGGAGGCTGTAAGGGCTGGCAGGGCCTGAGGCTGCCCCTGCCCTCCTGCCTGCAGTGAGGTCTGCACTGAGGATGCTGGAGGGCCGTACCAACCGGGAGGCACAGGAGTTTGTCAAGAGACTCAGGGAGCTGGAGAAATTCATGGAGGCGGACCCCTGAGAGCCCTGCAGCTGTGAGCCCCCGACTGCTCCCCAAGTCCCCACAGTGTCACCTCACCCTGTGACCAGCTTAGTGCAGCCAGGGCTGTGGTGCCCCCTCCCCTGCTATGTGGCATTTGTGCTATAGCTGGGTCCCCCAGCTCTTGTTAGTGCTGGTGTGTCCATGTGGAATGTGCTATGAACTCCCTGCTCCCAGCAAGCACCCCCCCAACCCTGTAACTGGGCGGCCAACTTGGCGGGGCCTGGCCAGCAGCTACCCCCTGGACAGGGAATACAGGAAGCCTGGCCACCAGCTGCCCCACCTGCCTCCTCGGGATCCCATTGCCTCCAGGCACCCGATTCCCAGTGGAGGAGAGGCTTTGCCCTCCAGGGGACATTAGGTCGTGTTTGGAGATGTTTTTATTTGTCACACATGGAGGCTGAAGGAGGGATGTTTCTGGTACCGGTGGACAAAGTTCAGGGGTTCTGCTTAATATCCCGCAGTAAACCAGACTGTAGTCTCCCGGCTAAGAATGTCCATCCCCAATGTCACCAGTGCTGCAGCAGAGTTGTCTTAGAAGCTGGGGTTGGGGGAGGGCGCTCACTAGGCTGAGGCAGGAAGGCCAGCGTTTGAGTCTGAACCCTTGAGTGAAGCAGCTCCCAGGGCACCAGGTGGAGGGAGAGGACGGCCAGTGCTCTCAGCTTCTCTGGGCTCCAGAACCCTCCACCACGAAGGGCATGTGGAGGTTTGCTAAGAGTATCGTTAAGTCTCCAGCCCCCACCTGGATCCCAGGCCCAGGAAAGGGTCCCTGGGATCCCTCTACGAGGCTGGTGGGTCAGCGTAAGGGGCTCCATGCTGGCTTCTGCTTTCACGTACACGTTTGTGCCCACACAAGACCTACTCCACGGCCCGCCACCCCCACTGCCCAGACCTTTCCGGCCAGGGTCTGCCTCACTAGAGACGGAGAGTTCCCCCAAGCGCCCAGGCCGAGTGCAAAGAAACAGGCTCACGGAGTCTCCCTGCTGCCGCTTCATTAGGGACTCTGAGGCCGGACCCAGAGCAAGGCTGTGACAGAGCCTTGGGAGAGAACCCACAGCCAGTGCTGCTCGTAGACGCAATGAGCCAGGGCCGCCAGGCCTGTCGTTCCCCCAGTTCTGCTGCTGTCTCTGTTTCCTCGTCGCTCTGCCTTGAAAAATACAAGTCTGGAACCTCAGTCTCTCTGCCGTTTCTTGATTCCTTTTCAAACCTCGGCAGGGGCCCTGGCCTCTGACCCCTGCTCCCGAGTCTCCTCCTCTTCTGGGCTGCTGCAGTCTCCGTCCTCAGCTTCAGGCCCATGTTCCTCAGACTCCTCCTCACTGTCAGTGTCATCACTGTCCCTGGGCAACCTGGAAGTAGTTGTTTCACTAAAGGCACCATCTGACCCACAAAAGCCCCCAGGCTGGGGACATATTCCTCATCCGCCCGTGTTCTTGACACCGAAACCTCTTCTTAGTGGGATGTCCATACCCCCATTTCCAAAGTCAACCCTCACACCCCGTTTCTGCAGAGCAGGAAGGGCTGAGGCCAGAGGCTGAGGACAGCCCTGGATCTGAGTTGTCACGAAACTGGGAAGCCTAAGGACCTACCGGGTGCCAGCCATGGGCCTGTTGGGATTTGCAAACTCTCGACCTGAATCCACATCAAAGGGATCTGAACAGAGGGAGCAGAGAGGACAGTGACGGGTAGGTGAGCTTTGAGCAGAACCCAGCCTTCCCCCCCAGAGCTTCTCAGAGAGGTGGCAGGCATGGAGGGTCCTGGCTCCCACCCGGGGGGGCTCCCACCCAGGCCCGGCCTCACCGATCTCTTCCTCGGGACGCTCCTTAGCGTGGGCCAGGAACTCCTGCTCTGCCTGCAGCACCTCCTCCGGCCCACAGCAGGCTGCGTACTTGTCCAAGAGCTGACGGTTCAGGTCTAGGAAGGCCTTGCCCCACTTGAACTTGCGCAGCAAAATGATAGCAAGGTCTGAGAAGCCTGATGCCGCAGAAACAGGAAACCCAGGAAGGGTGTCAATCCCTTTCCAATCCTGAGCGTGCCCCCAGCGTCCCCAAGAGCTAAAAGCACCCGCCAGACACCATCCTCCAGGCCAGACAGCCCGTGCCTGCCTCCAGAGCCCACTGAATGCCCCTGGATCATAAATCCCCTGAGGATGAGTTCAAGGGTGACGGCGGACTCTCAGGGCAGAGGTGCCAAGATAACAGGCCAAACTTGAGTGCTTGCAGGCCAGCTATTCATTTTGCCACCTCAACCCCACAGTGGGGAAACTTTTAGGTGAGAACTGGGATAGAAACCCGGACCTTTCCATATCAACCACCTCTGCCCACCCTCACGTTTCTCCTGGGACTTGCCAGTAGAAAACACACTGCTGGGAGCATAGCCAGGCCGCCAGGCCCCGACACTCACCCAGGATGCAGAAGGTAGCCGCAAAAGCCTCCACACAGGACAGTTTGCAGGGCCGGCCGTAGTTCACAGGGTTGGCGGCCACCAGGTGGGGCAGCAGCCGAAAGTGACTGCCCCGCATCTTCCCAAAGGGCGTCTCCTCCAGTCTGGCCCAGGAGCAGTCGATGACAGCCACACCCGACTGTGCCACCAGCTGTCTGCCAGGAGCAGCATAGGGTTCTGGGGGCCGGCACCACCTTGGTGACAGCCCTAGAACAGGTATGTCCCTGGAGGCTGGTCTCACTAGGGATACAGTAGCATCACTCCCCTGCCCCAAACCAAACTCTGAGGCAGCTAGGGAACTAGAACAGGCTCCTTTCTTCACATGACAAACGCTTATTTGAGATCTACTATGGGCTCTATGCTAGGCAATTGGGGCAAACTAGACAGACAGGTAAAAATAGGTGAGCCCTGACCAGCATGATGCGCCAGAGTCGGGGGCTTATTAAGATAAGGGTCCAGGCAGGCACCTCGCCCATTCCCACTCTCACCTCCGGCCTCTCCCGCCTACCTGTCAGCGGGGGACACGTACTGGGAGCCCATGGGGCTGAGCACGAGGCCGCCAAACCTGTGACCGAGGCGCAGGCAGCGCACCAGGCCCAGGCGGGCCAGCTTGCGGCCGGTGCAGCGCCGGGGGTCGCAGTGGCCCAGCTCCCACATGGCCAGCGTGCACGGCAGCGGCGCCGGGCTCCGGCTGTCCGCGTCCTCGGCCGTCTCTGACTCCACCGACGCTGCACCGAGCAGAGAAGGGGACCGGGTTACGCGCGGCTCCGCCGACCGGCCCTGGGCCTCCGACCCCCAGCCCCGGGCCCGGGCCCGCGGCGGGATCTCACCCCACCTACCGCGCAGCGCGACGCTCACGTCCTCGGCGAACGCTTCCAGGGAGCGGCCTGCGGGGCGCCGAGTGCGGCTGCCTTCGGCCCCCGGCCCGCGCGCTGCCCGCCGGCGGCCCATAGTGGAAACCGGGGCCCGGAGACCCGCGGGCGAGCCCCTCCACGGCAGCCCAGCTACACGCGCTAAGCCTGCCACAGGCGCTACTACTACTTCCGGCACTCACGTGACCCGACAGCGCCCACGTGACCTCGCAGCGTCCCACGTGACCGCGCGCCCTGCCGGCGTCCGTAGTGATGGCGGCCGCGTTGGTGCGCCTGGTGCTGCTGCTGCTGGCGGCGGATGGTTAGTGTCCTGACCCTGGCGCGCCCTGCCCAGGCTCCGGCGACCCCGCGCCCCTTCCCGACGCACCCCTCAGCCCCCTGCGACCCTTTCCCGCCTCCTCACGCCCTGTTCCCCACAGGACCCGCGCTCACGGACGCCGCCAAGATGAAGGTGGTGGAGGAGCCCAATACGTTCGGGTGAGCGGCCTTGCGTGGAGCCGCGGGCCGGGCCGAGGGGCGACCTAGGGCCCGGATTCTTCCTGACCCTACCAATCCCCGCAGGCTCAACAACCCGTTCCTGCCCCAGACCAGTCGCCTGCAGCCCAAGAGGGACCCTTCACCCGTGTCTGGTGAGTGCGGCTCCCCGGCCGCCGGCGTGGTAGTGGCCAGGAAGGGAGCGGGGAACTGGCCTGGAGCCCGGGGTGGCCCGGGTCAGCGCTCGGGAGCTTGCTGCAGGGGGGCCAGGTAGGGAAGGACGGCGTCGGATGAGGGGCCCTGGAAGTTAGGGCTTAGAGACTCATGCATTTGTCAGCCTTTTACAGTTATTTTTGAGTGCGCGATAGTTCAGAACATTCTCATACGACTTTTATGCTTTTTTATGCATAAGCATACAAGTAAAAAACGTGTAGTGTGGTTTTTTTTTTTTTTTTTTTTTTGTGGTCTTTGCATTGTTTTTAAAACAGTACCACTGTATAAGTTTGTGCATTTGCGGTTGTCATTCATTGTGTGTCTTGTATTCATGGTGGTGGATGCTGGTCTTCGTTTTTTTCACTTGATGCTTGCTATTCCATAGGATGGTTTTGCATTCGCTATTATTAAGCAACTGGAGGCCCAGTGCACGAAATTTTTGCACTGGTAGGGTCTCTAGAGGCTGCTGGCCGCCTGCTGCCTCCACCATATGGGATTTCCCTCCCTGTCCCTGGCCCGCCTCGCCCTCTGGTCAAACTCCAGTCGAACTCTAGTATAATAAAAGCATAATTGCATACTATGCTTTTATTTTTACTAGAGGCCCAGTGCACGAAATTCATGCATAATTCATGCATGGGGGGGGGGTCCTTCAGCCCAGCCTGCACCCTCTCCAATCTGGGACATCATCTCACAATCCAGGACTGCTGACTCCCAACCGCTTGCCTGCCTGCTTGCCTGCCTCCCTCATTGCCCCTAACTGCTTTTGCCTGCCAGCCTAATCACCCCCTAACCACCTTTCTGCTAGCCTGATGGATGCCTAACTGCTTCCCTGCTGGCCCAATTGCCCCTAACTGCCCTCCCCTGCCGACCTGGTCACCCCCAACTGTCCTCCCCTGCAGGCCTTGTTGCCCCTGCTGGCCTGGTCACCCCTAACTTACCTCCCTTGCCAGCCTGGTCTCCCCCAACTACCCTCCCTTGCTGGCCTGGTTACCCCTAACTGCCCTCTCCTGCCGGCCTGGTCACCCTTACCTTGCCTCCCCTGCAGGCCTGGTTGCCCCCAACTGCTTTTCCTGCAGACCTGGTTCCCCCCAACTGCCCTCCCTCCCCTGCCAGCCACGTCGCCCCTAACTGCTTTCCCCTGTAGGCCTGATTGCTCCTAACTGCCCTCCCCTGTAGGCTGGTTGCCCCAACTGCCCTCCCCTGCTCACCTGATCACCCCTAACTACCCTTTCTGGCCGGCCTGTTCACCCACAATTGTCCTCCTCTGCTGGCCTGTTTGCCCCCAACTGCCCTCCCTTTCTGGCCAACTTGTGGCAGCCATCTTGTGATGACGTGAGAGTGGCCAATTTTGGGACAGTGTCACGGCACAGTCATCTTGTAACAATGTCACGTAAGGGCGTGTCACACCTAGGCTTTTATTATATAGGATTTATAGAAAAACAAGCAATAATGTATTGACTGCAGCAAAAACATACTTAGGACTTTAAAACAAGGAAGAGCACAGAACATGGATAGAGAATGTGTAGTTGCTTTGTAGTATAACTTGATATCTGGTATCATGATCCTTCTTTGTTTTTTGTTTTATCAAGATTGCTGAAGGTATTTGGGTCTGTTTTGGTTCCATATAAATTTTTGGAGTAATTTGTTCTAGATTTGTGAAATATGCCGTTGGTAATTTAATAAGGATTGCATTGATTCTGTAGACGCTTTGGGTAGTATAAACATTTTAATGATTCTACCAATCTATGAGCAAGGTATATTTTTCCACTTGTTTATATCTTCCTGTCTCTTTTTCCAACAGTCTATAGTTTTCTGAGTGCAAGTCTTTTACCTCCTTGATTGTTTATTCCTAAGTATCCTAATTTTTTTGTGTGTGTGTGTGTGACAATGGTAAATGGGATTGTTCAATTTCTCTTTCTGAAAATTCATTATTGGTTTATAAAAATGCCATAGCCGAGCCGAAACCAGTTTGGCTTAGTGGTTAGAGCGTCAGCCTGCGGACTGAAAGGTCCCAGGTTCAGTTCCAGTCAAGGGCATGTGCCTTGGCTGTGGGCGCGTCCCCAGTAGGGGATGTGCAAGAGGCAGCTGATCAATGTTTCTCTCTTGTTGATGTTTCTAACTTTCTATCCCTCGCTCTTCCTCTGTGTAAAAAATCAATAAAATATATATTTTTTTAAATGCCATAGCCGAAACCAGTTCTAACTCCCTTCCTCTCAGTAAAAAATAAATAAAATATATTTTAAAAAAATAAAAATGCCATAGATTTTTGGGTGTTAATTTTGTACATTGCCGAATTCATTTATTAAATCTAGTTTTTTTGTGGGTTTTCTGTGAACAATATCATGTCATCTGCAACTAATGAGTTTTACTTGCTCCTTTCCAATTTGGATTCCTTGTATGTTTTCTTCTTGTCTGATCACTGTGACTAGCACTTCCAGTACCATTGGGATTTGAATATGGATTACATTGAATAACTAGGTCATTTTCAGTAGTTTGAGATTTAATATTAAATCTTTTTATTCATGGACACAGGAAATCTTTCTATTTATGCATGTCTCTAATTTCTTTCAGCAGTAGCTTGTAGTTTTCAGTGGATAAGTATTGTGCCTCCTTGAATAAATTTATTTTTTTAATATATTTTATTGATTTTTTACAGAGAGGAAGAGAGAGAGTTAGAAACATCAATACGAGAGAATCATCGATCAGCTGCCTATTACACACCCCCTATTGAGGATGTGCCCGCAACCAAGATACATGCCCTTGACTGGAATCGAACCTGGGATCTTTCAATCCGAAGGTCGAGGCTCTATCCACTGAGCTAAACCGGTTTTGGCTGTCCCTTGTTTCTTCGGTTAGTTTGTTGTTGTTAATCCTCACTCAAGGATATTTTTTCCATTTTTAGAAAGTGGAAGGGAGGGAGGGGGAAGAGAGAGAGATGTTCACAGAGAGATAGACCTTGATGTCAATTAGTTGCCTTCTGCACACCCCCAACCTAGACAGGGAATTGGATTGCAATACAGGTACGTGCCTTTGACAGGAATCAAACTTGTGGCCCTGTGGAGCATTGGCCTAAGCTCCAGCCACTGCACCACACTGGTCAGGGCTCTTCCATTAGTTGTTTTTTTTCCCTAGTTCTGCTTAGTTCCCCCCCCCCCCTTATTTTTTAAATTAAATTATTATATGTGCACATATTTTACCATTGCCCCCCCCCCCCATTAGTTTTTATTGACTTTTTCTTAGGTGACATGTCTGATTTCCCCCTTTTTCCCCTTTGTGTATACTTTACATATAGTTATTTTTATCAGTGGTTACCATGGGGATTATGTAATATCCTCAAGTTTAGAGTCTATTTGAATATATTCTATCTTCAATTATATATAAAAACCACTCCTACACAGCTGTTTCTCTACTAACCTTGTTTTTAAAGATTACTTTTTAAACATTGTGCACATGCTAACATAGATTTATAATTTTTTATGCATTTTTCTTTTAATAATATATTTTATTGATTTTTTACAGAGAGGAAGGGAAAGAGATAGAGAGCTAGAAACGTCGATGAGAGAGAAACATCGATCACTGCCTCCTGCACACCCCCCACCGGGGATGTGCTCACAACCAAAGTACATGCCCTTGACCGGAATCGAACCCAGGACCTTTCAGTCCGTAGACCAACGCTCTACCACTGAGCCAAACCGGTTCCGGCGCATTTGTCTTTTAAATTCTGTGTATTTACAAAGCAGAATTCCAATGCTGGCTTTGTAATTTGCCCTTTCCTGGAGGTTATTAAAGTCCTTTCATTTTAACATTTTTAAAAAATATATTTTATTGATTTTTTACAGAGAGGAAGGGAGAGAGATAGAGAGCTAGAAACGTCGATGAGAGAGAAACATCGATCAACTGCCTCCTGCACACCCCCTACTGGGGATGTGCCTGCAACCAAGGTACATGCCCTTGCCCGGAATCGAACCCGGGACCCTTCAGTCCACAGGCCGACCCTCTATCCACTGAGCCAAACCGGTCCAGGCTGTCTCTTGGGTCTTGATGTGGGTCTCTTTGAGTTCATTATATTTGGAGCTTCTGGGACTTGGAGATTCATGTCTTTTATCAAATTGGGGAGTTCCTGACAGTCATTTCCTCAACCAACATCTCTGTCCCTTTCTCTTTTCCTTTGGGGACTTCCATAATGTGCGCCACAGGTTTCTCAGGCTCTGGTAGCTGATTCTTTTCTGTTGTTTGTTCAGATCTGCTGTTGAATCCCTTGTGTGATTTTCATTTCAGTTGTATTTTTCAGCTCCAGAATTTTTTGGTTTCTGTAATGTTTACCTCTGCCCACATCATTTTCCTGATGCCCTTTAGTTGTGTTTTCTTATAGTCTTTGAAGAATATTTAAGGTAGTTATTAAAGGTTTAGTAGCCCTGGCTGTGGTGATGTGGTTCAGTTGGTTGAGTTATCTCATGTACCAAGAGGTGGCTGGTCCGGTTTCTGGTCAGGGCACATACTTGGGTTGAAGGATTAATCCTCAGTAGGGAGCATTAATCCTCAGTAGGCAGCCAATTGATGCTTCTCTCTCTTCCTGTGCTTCCCTCTCTCTCTAAAATCAATGAAAACATATTTAAAAATAAAAGTTTGGGCTTCTCTCAGGTGGATCTGTCAGTATTTGCCTTTGAACAATGTGTTCCTGTTTCTTAGTATGCCTTGCAATTTTTATTGAAAAATGGGCCTTTGAAAACCGATATCTCTGCCAGTTAGTTTGCAGACTGGCTCTTAATGGGGCAGTCTTCACCAATATCTGGGCACATTCTGAGCCTAGAGAGCAGCCTGAGGTGCATCTTGCTGTTAGGCGTGTACATGTCTTAAGTCCCTCCTCTTAGGGTAGCCCAGCCTGTTTTGCTTGCTCTTTAGATGTTTCACAGGGAAAGGAGCAGGAAGGAGGAGCAGGCCAGGACGCAGTGCAGAGTGAGACGTCCCAGAAACGCATGCGTCAGAGGATGTGCTTCCTCTGTGCCTTCCAGGCCAGTGGCTCTCAGGATTGGACTCAAAGATACAGACAAATAAAGATTCAAATTTTTAATTCCATACTGATAAAAATAATAAAGTCTTGCTTCAAACTTCTGAGTCTCTAGGCCCCCTCAGCTTCATGAGCAGTGCCCACTTCCCACCTGCGGTCTGGGTTGACAAAACAAAGACCAGTCCTCGGGCAGCCCCCAGCCAGGTTGGAATGCTGCAGATAAGGTTAGTGGGGAGGCACAAGACAAGAGAAAATGCCTTAACCCTTGTGCTACCAGCTTGAAGGTGCTTTAGTTCTTCTACTTGGTTGCTGTAAACCTGTTGTTCAAAGCTCCTCTTAGGGTAGCTGTTTTGCTTGCTCTTCAGATGTTTCACAGGGAAAGGAGCTTGGAGCTCGCTTAGTCTAAGGTTTTGCTGACGTCACCCAAACTCTCATGCTCCATTTTTAAAGTTTAAACCAACCTTTTTCCTGATGGCCCATTTTTGTGGGTTGTCTGCTTTTCCACGTGCCTGCTCTTACACTGGACTCAGCCTGTTGTTTTTCCCCTTCTAGGGCCTGCGCACCTCTTCAGACTTTCTGGCAAGTGCTTCAGCCTGGTGGAGTCCACGTGAGTGCGGGGCGGGGCGGCGGGGGCGGGGGCTGGGAACAGCCCTGACAGCAGCTGCACCCCCAGGTACAAGTACGAGTTCTGCCCATTCCACAACGTGACCCAGCACGAGCAGACCTTCCGCTGGAATGCCTACAGCGGGATCCTCGGGTGAGCTGGTTCGGGAATAAGGAGCTACAGGCTCCTGGGTGTGGTTCGCTCCCCAAGCCCAACCTAACCCAACTCCTGCCCTGCTGCTGCTCAGCATCTGGCACGAGTGGGAAATCGCCAATAACACCTTCAGCGGCATGTGGATGAGGGACGGCGACTCCTGCCACTCCCGGAGCCGGCAGAGCAAGGTGCAGCTGTGTGTAGGGTGTGCCCCGGGGGAGGGGGGTGCCTGCTTTACCCACCTTCCAACCAAGGTTTCCCCCCAGGTGGAGCTTACCTGTGGGAAAAGCAACCGACTGGCTCATGTGTCTGAGCCAAGCACCTGTGTCTACGCGCTGACCTTCGAGACGCCCCTCGTCTGCCACCCCCACTCCTTGTTAGGTAGGCTGCCGGAGGCCTGGGAGACGGGGTAGCGGGGCTCTGCTAAGTCTGGCTTCTCTTGGATCTCAGTGTACCCAGCCCTGCCTACGGCCCTGCAGCAGAGGTGGGACCAGGTGGAGCAGGACCTGGCCGACGAGCTCATCACTTCCCAGGTGAGGTGCCGCGGTGGGCACCCCGTGACTGGTGGGCACCCCGTGGCCGGGTGCAGCACAGCGACGAACGGGGTGCTCCCTCTCCGTCTCCGACCTGCAGGGCCATGAGAAGTTGCTCAGAGCGCTCTTTCAGGATGCTGGCTATTTAAAGGCCCCGGAAGAAAGTGAATCCGCACAGGAAGGCGGTGCCCAGGCTCAGGTGTTTGAGACCTTGGAGAGCTGCAGTAAGGTACAGATTGGGAGGGTGGGGGCCGAGTTCTCTGGACACAGACGGCCTCCCACTGAGGGGTCTGACGTGCCCTTCGAACTTCCCTGTTCCAGGCACATAAAGAACTATCAAAGGAGATTAAAAGACTCCAAAGTGTGCTGACCCAACATGGCATCCCCTACACTAAGCCTGCGGGTAAGTCGCACCTGGGGGGTCAAGCCCACTGGGACCTGCTGCCTGTGAGCCAGATCCTGACCTGTCACTGCCTGCTGTTTTGCTAGAAACTTCCAGCTCTGAACACTTGGGCTCCAAGGTACCCACAGACAGGACAGCAGAGCAGCTACCTGGCAACCCTGGGTTGCTTGGGAACACCTTATGACCTGGGATGGGGCTGAAGACAGACCAGACTGGCATCCTATAGCAGGAAGGAGGAGCAGGCCAGGACGCAGTGCAGAGTGAGACGTCCCAGAAAAGCATGCGTCAGGCAGAGGATGTGCTTCCTCTGTGCCTTCCAGGCCAGTGGCTCTCAGGATTGGACTCAAAAGATACGGACAAATAAAGATTCAAATTTTTAATTCCATACTGATAAAAATAATTCCATGAATTCTGTAAACCATTGCATAAATGCTGTAGTGTAAAAAAATTTAAACAGGTGTTAACAACTTTAAACAATTCACTAAGTAAATGATTATACCTTATAAATACTACCTTCTGAGTTAAGATAATTCCATTCCAATAACATTCCCATCTAAATATTCAGAACAAACATACAGATTGGGGGCTTTCATAAATTAGTCCACATGAAGCGTCCACACACTGAGTTGAGGTTTGCTGATCAGCTGCACGAGTAGTATGACAAGAATATTACTGCGAATGTTGAACACTAGAGCTGAGAGACACTGAGCACCACACGGCTTTCACTGCTACACCCAGCACTCCCCTCCCACCCTAAGCCAGTGAGGTCTGCAAAGGGAGGCTCCTCCTAAGGTCAGGGCCACTGCAGGGATGGGGGGCCCTACCACATGACAGCCCTCACTGCGCCGGGCACCCTGGGAGCTCCATTCTGGGTGGTTCTTTGGTCTTCCCACCACACATCTGTTCTCAGAGCCAGTCCTGACCTGAGAAGGGTGAGTGCTCACGGGCTATGCCCCAACCCCAGCTGTGGAACCCCTGTGAGCACTGCACCTGTGGCCCCCAATCTCCACAGAACTAACCAGAGTAGCTTATAAATAGACCTAAAGCTTAATTGTTCTTAATTGTTTATAATTGTAAAATGTCTAGGCTAGATATCAGTAATAAACACTGTCCTGTTATCCCCAAAAAGGCCAAAGGCCTAACATGGAAAAGAAGTGCATAAATATTAATAAAAAATAATTTTAAACAATGATAACAGTAGCACAAAATATACATAATTTCTAAGACCTAATAAATCATTATCACTATAATTAAAAACAAGGATTTACTAAAACCAAGTCAATAGTTAACCTTTAGTAGCACACTAGCTGTGGAATGTCATGGATCCACCTTTAAAATGATAACTTTTTATCAATTTGTCTGTTAAAAAATGTTTTAAACTTTTAATAGTAAATACATTCTAATTTGGTCACTGATAAAAGTTTTTACCTAGTCACTTTGCACTTTAAAAATGCATTTAAAACTCTTTGGCAAAGCCCCAGGCAAGTAGAAACACAGCATTCACTCCAGGCTAGAGGGCTGGTACCTGCTCCTGCCTCCCAAACGGCAGGTTCTGCAAAGACTTCCTCAGCAATCTAGGCAGGCCGCACTGAGCACAGTTCTACTTCCCAGGTCTCTAGGAAAAAAGGACCCACTGTAGACCAGAAGGTTCAGGTCATCACTGAAACCCGACCCGTTCTCAGGCATTCCTTCCTTGGCCTGAAGCCAGGCTGCTACTTGGGGCCAGAGACCAGCATGAGAGCCAGATCCTCGCGATGACTGACAATACCTACACACAGTTCAGACAACAGTGTCAGAAGTGTCGCCTGAAGCTGAGTGTGCTGGAGATGGGCGAGCCTGTCCCGCTCTGGCGGGAGTCCTGGTGGTCCCAGCTGTAGGGGGTGCTCGGGCCCGCGGGGTGCCCTGCAGCCAGCTCCAGGAAGCTGTGCGAAGTGGCTCTAAAACAGATGTACCCCCTTGGTCGCACTTTTCGCTAGTATCAAATTGTCTTACAAAAACTGAAGGGAGAAGATAAAACCAAGGGAACCCTCCTCCTTTTGCAAGGCACAGGCTCTTAGAAAAAGTGGCCACGGGTCCTGGATGCGTGACTGAGCGCCCTCATTGCACGGTGCTGGGAAATAAGACTCCAGTTAGTGTGCGCGAGCACATGGTTAGGAACAGTTCCTTTCATAAAATTAAAAACATCTAAAAGTATGTCTTCCAATAACCACTCTGCTATAAATACTATTTGCACTTAATTTAAAACCTATAAAAATCCTAGGCATCTCTCACTACTAGATAAATGCTCATTTCATAAGTACTAATTTCAGAATATGAAATCTAATATATTTACCATAATATGAATTACAATAAACTGATAGGAAATATTTTAAGTTCACAGTACAATACAAAGCTTCATATGCATATTAAAAAGACATGAACCTAGAAAGCAGCTTATAGCAGCTGAGACCGTCCACGTCAGTTCCTGTTTACAAAGTGCTTGGCCGGGACGTGAACTCCCAGGATGTGGTCACAGTAGTGTCAGGACCGCAAACCCCGTGTAATTACTGGGCCCACCCAAACCTGGGCTGGGGCAGGCGGTGCTGTGGGTTTGCCTTAAGGTCTACGAGGAGAATACCATGGAACTGGATGCAGCTGGGCCGGGGTCCCGACGTCGGTGGCACCAGGAAATGAGGCCACCATGGCTGCCGTCACCACGGGAGGGGCTGACCCTCGCAGTAGGGGCACTCGGGCGCACTGGCCACACACGGCTCACAGAGCACACGGTGCTGGCAGGGCTGCAGGACGGCGCCGCGGGCCGGCTCTCCGCACACCACGCACTGTTTCGCTCTGAGCTGGAAGATCACCTGCGGGTGAGAAGTTGGCGGGTCACAGGAGGCCCCTTCCCACCACTGGCCCCAGAGGTGACGGAGAACACGTGGAGATGATGGCTAGCGCAAGAAGGCTTAGGACTGGATGGACATGGAGACCTTTAAGTGGAAGTCTGGCTCCTGGGGGGCTAAGCCTGCGTGGGAAGGACCAGGCCAGGATGTGGCTGGTGAGTCCAGATTTGGCTCAGTGGAACCCTGAGCTGAGACCCAGCCCTCTGACCAGGGGAAGAGCCACAGCCCAGGGACTGGTGAAACGATCGGGTATGTGCACTGCAGCCGGACCTCGGCCACAGTCAGCAGAAGAAGAGGAGAAAGAGGCAGGGTTTTAGGACCTTCCAGATGCTCTGAGTTCTAACAAAATGCCCTGGTGTGGGAGAAGTTTCTAGCTGAGCTGAACACCAGGTTTTTGCTACTCCAGAAAAAATAATGAAATCATGCAAAGAGGTGATCAGTGACCCGCCTCAGACACACACCATGGTTCCAGTTGTATGGGGTAAGAGGGGCGTGATTCTATCCATGAGGGCACAGGAGGGGGCTAATGTGGCAGATTCCAGGAAGGAAGGGGAGGGCCAGCCTGGCAGGGGAGGTGGTGCACACACTCCTGGGAGCAGAGCGTGAGCTGCCATCTGAGGAGCTAATGAGAAGGACCGCCCGGGAGGGGGAGGAGCGGAAGGCCAGGTCACAGCCATCATCTGGCCCACACACTGCGGGGGGCAGACATCAGGTACCTCGGAAGCTGAAGCCAGGACTCACCCCGTCCACCGCCTCCAAGTCTAGGCGGAGCTGGCTCTGCAGCGACTGTAGCTTGGGCAGCGAGATGGCACCGATGTCGCTGCAGCCTCGCAGCCCTGGCAGTGTGGACATGCCCCGGCCTTCCAGCTCCTCCTGCAGCTGCCTGAACTGGGCCTCCACCTCCTCCTTCTTCTGCAGTGCCAGCTGCCGGGCACTGTCCGCGGCCAGCGCACGCTCCTTCGCCTCCTTGGCTTCCCGCTGCCATGCGTCACAGGCCTGAAACCCAGGGGGCTGTAGTGGCTGGCAGGGGGCACCCTGGTCTCCCCTGAGCCTGGCACCTCCCCAGGACTCACCTGCTTCACTTGCTGCCAGGACTCCTCCCACTGCCTGATCTTCCTCTTGGCCTCGTCCAGCTGCCGCCTGACCCGCGCCAGTTCGGCGCCATTCGGACTTGCACTTGCAGTGGATGTGGGGCCGGCATTCAGAATGGGGGACGGGCTGGGAGAGAAGCTGCCGGAAACGAAGTCCCAGATGCTCCCAGGGACGCCATTCAAACCTGAGTGTGGAGGAGACAGAGGTCAGCCCAGGCGTGCTGGACTTCACGGACACCCCAGGCCGGACCTGGGCCTCTGGGACTCCACAGACAAGCTGCTGCCCCTGACCTTCCAGCCAGGCCCCTCCAGCCTCCTGTGGGGTTTAAACAGAGAAAAAATGAATTCAAAGTTCCTGTGACTGCCGCCTGTGGAACAGGACTTCTCAGACTCTGGTCCCAGGAACCCTTGACACACATGGGATCCTAGGCCCCCAGGAGCTTTGGTTTAAAGAACTCCCACAAGAGAAAACGTGTCACTTAACAACAGGGGAAACTGAGAAACGCACCATCGGAGTGCACTTACACAAACAGAAATGGTTTAGTGTAGCCGCAGGTACACCTATTGCTCCTGGGCTGCAGGCCTGAACTGCCTGTGACTGTACGCAATGCTGTAGGACACTGACACAATGGTAACTGTGTGTATTTAAACATACAAAAGATACAGTAAAAGTACAGTGTAAAAGATAGAGTGGCACACTTAGTACTGAGCTTGCAAGCCTGCAGTTGCTCTGGGTGAGCTGAGGGAAGCCCAGGTTATTACTGCCACAACTGCAGACTTTACAAACACTGTCCCACACCCTCCTCTGCTGCCTCCCGACAGGGTCAGCAACAACACTGAAGCTGCAAGTAGCAAGGAGAGACTGTCTGGTTGAGACCCAGATCACAACAGCAACTGCCAGGAGGGAGTGAGGATTAGTCAGAATTAAAGTGAAGACGAGGAGAGAAAGGAACATGGCACCGTCATGGCCATGTGGTTTTGGCTACTACATGCTGGAGCAGTGGTCAGATTAAAGAACCCTGTGGTTTTCATAAATAAAAAAAAAAGAGGGTGTTTAATATGGAGAGGGGGTAGAATTGAGGACTCAATATTTTGACTTGGGAATTGGGTTCTATTGACTCACCTGTCATAGAGGGCTCTCACTGGCACTGAATTAATAGAAGAAGAAAAGCCTTACCTATGTTTTACATCATAACCTGAAAAGATTTCCAAAGTACAGGGACAGGCTGGCTCTACACTACCATAGAAATCTTTTCTTTTTCTTTTTTTTTTTAATATATATTTCTTTATTGATTTCAGAGAGGAAGGAAGAGGAAGAGGGAGAGGGAAGGAGAGAGAGAGAAACATCAATGATGAGAATCATTGATCGGCTCGTCCCCCATGGGGATCGAGCCCACAACCCAGTCACATGCCCTTTGGCCGGAATCGAACCTGGGACCCTTCAGTCCGCAGGTCAACGCTCTACCCACTGAGCCAAACCGGTCAGGGCCAGAAATCATCTTCTAAAGTGGCTGCGTGGCTAGCGTGGCTGTGGTTGAGCATCAACCTATGAACCAGAAGGTCACGGTTCAATTTCCGGTCAGGGGAACATGCTCAGGTTGCAGGCTCCATCCTCAGTAGGGGGTGTGCAGGAGGCAGCCAATCAATGACTCCCTCTCATCACTGATGTTTCTATCTCTCCCTTCCTCTCTGAAATCAATACAAATATGTTTGAGAAAAGAAAAAAGAAGTGGCAGTGGCACTTAGCCCTTGTTAAGCTGCTCCTGTGGACCGGAACGGGAGCTTGGGTCCTCAGCAAACGACGTACAGCAGTGTGACACAGGCTGGCGACTGGCGGACTGGACTGACCGACTCTAAGCTGAGGTGCTGAGAGGAAATCTACTGCCAAGCTCCACATGTACTGTTCCCACAGAGAAGACAGTTCCTCTGAGCCACAGAGCCTTCCATTTCAGCTCCATCGGAGCCCTACGGGACCACCGTCATATATGAAGTCTGCTGACCAGAAAGTTGTCAGGTGGTGCATGACCATTTAGGAATTAAAGAGATATTTAAAAATATTAATTCTTGCCGACACTGGTTTGGCTCAGAGGATAGAGCATGTACCTTGGTTGCAGGCACATCCCTGGTGGGGGGGTGTGCAAGAGGCAGCTGATTGATATTTCTCTCTCGATGTTTCTGGCTCTCTATCCCTCTCCCTCTCTGAGAGGATCTATTTTTAAAAAAATACTAATATTAATATTAAAGTATAACAGGTTACACAAAACAAGTAATACTTCTCAATGAAAGAAAAATGAAAAACAATAAATGGCACTGTTCCCTGTTTTTGCAAATCCGCCTGCTCCGTGCTGGGTCTCTGGTGACATCGCCCCGCACAACCTCGGAAACGCCGCTGCACGGGTGAGTGCACACGGCAGGTCGCGCTGCAGTCACAACCATGGCCAGGGCACAGAGACCCTGACAGAGCCCCAGGGCACCGCCAGCAAAGCAGCAGACACGTGGACAAGGGGCCGCCTGGGATATACGCCAAGGCCCACACCACAGGGAGCGTGCAGGGCAGCATGGTGGCGTCTGAAATGAGGGCAGCCAAGTGGGGACACCCACCCGCACACACCTCAGTTTATTCAGCAGTAAGCTGTCACTATAGGTAGCCCCTCCCCCAAAGCCCCAGCTCACCTAGGGAGTTGTAGGACGAGGCCGAGGAGCCCAGCACCCTGGGCTCCGACTTGAGGGGTGGCGGCTGCTGGGGGGGCGTCATGGCCGAGGAGACAAGAGGCCCCGACAGGGACTGGGAGAGCGAGCTGAGCGGGGAGGTGGACAGGGATGACGAGGATTGCAGGGATGGGGAGCGGGCCAGGCAGCCAGGAATGGTGACGGGCTCTGAGCCCCCCAGCGACCTCTGACCTGTGCAGAGTGGAGGGGCCGGGTTAGTGAGAGGCAGCAGCAGCCCTCTGCCCAGAAAACAGCACAGCATTGCCTCTGAGCTGGGGTGCAGCAGCCAGGGCAAGGGGGCACAGGGTGAAGGTGCTGGGGGTTCCAGGCCTGCAGCAGCCACGTGGCGGTGCAGGGACAGAGCTCCCCCAGGCCGAGATGTGTCCATAGCTCCCAGCCACTCACACCAACGGCAAGTGCACGGGAGGAGGGTTTCAGCAGGGTCCCAGAGACCAGACACCCACCAGGACCCGACAGCCAGTGTACCCACCGGCATGGTGGCCCCAGTACTTTCGGGGCCCACAGAAACATTAATTTGTTTCAACATCGGAAGAAAAAGATAGGCCCATCTGGTGTGGCTCAGTGGTTGAGCATCGACCTATGAACCAGGAGGTCACAGTCCATCATTCCCTGTGAGGGCACATGCTTGGGTTGTGGGCTCGATCCCCAGTAGGGGGTGTGCAGGACGCAGCCCATCAATGATTCTCTCTCATCACTGATGTTTCTACACCTCTCTTTCTCCCTTCCTCTCTGAAATCAATAAAAAAATTTTTTTTTAAAAAGAAGAAAAAGATGAGCTTTTAGGCCAGAGAAAACGATTCAGTACATGTTTATACCATCTTCGTCCAAAGCAGTGGTTAAACCATTCGGAAGGCTGGCCGCCCGTGTCCCCATTCTGCACACTCCACACCCATCTCTGCAGGGGCCACTCTGCTCCGATGGAGGTAAACTGAGGGGCTGTGAGGCTGGTCCTGCCAGGGCTGCAGGGTCCTGGAGGAGGGGGAGGGCCTCTCCCACCCGAGGACCGTTTAAGGACTCTGGAAAGAAACGCCCGGCCAGCCCAGCCACCCTGACAAGAGCGCCAGGCGCCATCCATCTTACCTGTGGGTCCCAGCTCACTTCCGTCCTGCTCGTCCAGCTCCTTATCCAGGGGAGCGAGGCTTACATCACTAAGATGGAGATCTAAGGCAGAACCTGTCCAACAAGACACCTGTTACTGCTCAGAAACACTCGGAGCAGCAGTAGGGAGATGCCTGGCTCTCCAGGGAGCGGCAACACCCCGCCTCGGAGCTGGGGGCCAGGAACACCCCTGCCCGCCTTCCAGTTGGGCTCACTCTCCTCCCGCACAGCCAGGGCCTCCAGGCCCCCACGGGGTCCTAGAGCAGGCCTCACCTCACTGAAGTCGGCTTCTGTGGTTTCAATGTCACAGGACGACATTTGACCAAGTAAACACACTTAACCAGTAAAAGAGAATTCCAGGAGGTGCTATCCACGGAAAGCGACTCAGTCAGTCCACGGCATGCGGCTGCTCTCGCACTAGCACCGACCCGCACCCTGTTCTCCACCCTAACCCTCAGCGGGTCCCTCCCACGCCCTCTGTTCCCCCGGACACCGTACACCCCAGGCACATCTGCTCAACAGGACAGGAATGGAACGGTGGGCCCTCAGACTGCCTCGCCCCCAAAAGCTTTCCTCAGAACCCTTCTCGGGCAGGACGGAGGGGCAGGACGGAGGGGGCAGGGCGGAGGGGGCAGGACAGAGCGGGCAGGACGGAGGGGGCAGGACGGAGCGGGCAGGACGGAGCGGGCAGGACGGAGGGGGCAGGACGGAGGGGGCAGGACGGAGGGGGCAGGACGGAGGGGGCAGGACGGAGGGGGCAGGACGGAGGGGGCAGGACGAGGGGGCAGGACGAGGGGGCAGGACGAAGCGGGCAGGACGGAGGGGGCAGGACGGAGCGGGCAGGACGGAGCGGGCAGGACGGAGGGGGCAGGACGGAGGGGGCAGGACGAGGGGGCAGGACGGAGGGGGCAGGACGGAGGGGGCAGGACGGAGGGGGCAGGACGGAGGGGGCAGGACGGAGGGGGCAGGACGGAGCTGCACTGTCTCGGCACAAGAGCAGGAAGCTGTCCTTGGGTGGCCGAGGTAGGGCCAACCAGCCCCCTACGCGGGAGCATGACTCGGGGGTCTCTGGGGTCCCACAGGATCAGCTCAGGGAAGGTGTGGCCCCAAGACCCTAGGGAAATGCCCAGGGGGGAGGGGGCAGCAGGCAGAAACACCCTGGGACACACCTCGTGAGCCAGAGCAGCCTTCCCAACCCAAAGTTAGGTCTCGTCCAAAGGAGAGCGCGGTGGCATCAAAGGCACAGCACTCAGGAGTTCTGCCACTAAGCACCTTCCCCCCCACACACACCCCCCTTCTGGGGACCCCCAGCCCCCCCCCCCGAAGTGGGCCTCTTCCATGTAGCCGAGCCCTGTGCCCCCCGGTGGCTGAGGGTCCCCTAAGTCTCCCTTGTTGTCTGGTAAGATGCACCAGGTCTCATTTCAAGAGGCCACAAAGTCACCCTACCCTGCCCCTGCCCCTAGGACGGACATCGCCACAGCCCAGGGGACTTACCACAGGGACCCTAGTCAGACCTGCTTCTCTGGGTGAGCGAACTGGGCTTCTGGAGGCTCCTGCCCCTGCCCTGCCCCAGCTGCCTGGTGCCAAGTGTCACAGAGCCCCTGGACCACGTCCTACAAGCAACCGCAGGTTAAAGCTGCCCACGCAGAGGCCACGCCAGAGGCACAGCCGTGTCTCCTGCACAGGGTCCCGGAGCAGCAGCGGGGCCCAGGCCGCAGGAGGAGCTGCATTCAAATGGAAGAGCTGAGCAGAGTGCAACTCAAGGCGCAGGGGAACCTGCCTACGCTGGGGAGGGGGCTGCTGCCTTTTCTAATGAGAGGCGTTTACTGTCATCAGCAGGAAATACGGGGCAAGAGATGTGTGACTTCCAAAGAACGTAAGTCCTCAGGATAAGCAAATCTATGGGGAGCTGGCTGTGTACACACAGAGAGCGGCCATAGGGTTCAGCCAGAGAGGCACCCCCAGCTACCCTTCCTCAGCCCCGGGGGGGGGGGGGGGGGGAATGTGAGGGCTCCTGGCCAATGAGCGGCGCTCAGGCACGCACATCTGGGAGCCACTGGCTCCCGCCTCCCGCCTCCCGCCTCCGTGGTGTGAGGCCTGTTGTGCACACTGAAAAGTAAGGGGCCTCGTGTCCATGATGCAAGGGAGCAGCACTGCCTGGCGAAGCCCAGGGCCTGCATCTGACCCTTGTGTCATCACCACTGCCTGCAGGTACCACCCCGACGTGGCCCGGCTTGGGAACCAGGGCCCAGAGCAGAGAGGAGACCAAGCTCCACTGACCAGAGATGATGTTGGGGGAATCACTGAGCGACCCCCCAACCCCAGCATCAGAACATCCTAACCAAGCTACCAAGTCACCTGGAGAACACTGTTCCCCTCCTCCCCACCCCCCACTATTACCTGTCACCAGGAGCAGTGGGAGGTACCAAGAGAACTACCGACACAAAGGACACAAAGGTGTGGAAGACTTTGAAGGCCTTATCTGGAAAAGTGGGGTTCAAGAATCCCTAGATTCCATCTGTGAGAGGCGGGAGGGTGCTGAGCTGGAGACACTGACCCTGCAGATGCCTAACTGTGCAAGGACCACAGTGGGAGCAGCAGAGAGCAGGCCCCGGGCGGCAGCACCTCAAGCTCTTTTGTCCCTGAAAAGGTGATGGAAAGACAATGAACATTCCTCACTGTGGCCTCCTGAGTGCGACAACAGCAGCCACGAGGCTGCTCTGCTCACCGGACCAGCTCCTCCAGCAGGTTCCCCTGACACACCGCACGGCACAGCCAAGACAGGCAATGTGGAAACAGCCCGCCGCCACAGCCCAGGTCTCAGGAAGGCCTGGAGGCAGGGACCCACAGGGGCAGCACCGCCCTCTGCCCTGCAGCCTCCCTCCGTGGGCTCCCTCTGCCCGTCCACTGTGCTGCTCACGCCCTTCTCTGCAGCCAGTCCCTCCCTCTCCAGGCAGGGCCCCAGGAGCCTCTGGGTCCGGGGTCTGCTAAAAGCAAGCACCACAAGTTGGGCAGCTTCGAGCACCACACACCCATTCTCCCAGCTCTGCGGTCAGAAGCTGAGACCAGGGGGCACAGGGCTGCGTGCCCTCTGGAGGCTCCGTCCTGCCTCTTCCAGCTTCGGCTTTGTCAGCAACCCTTGGCCTTCCTTGGCTGGTGGCTGCATCACCCTCTCTCTCCTCCATCATCACATGGCTGCTCGCCTCTGTGTCTGTGTCTAAATCTCCTCCCTCTCAGAAGGACGGCAGTCATCTTGGATTAGGGCTCCTGTCAATGACCTCATTTTACCTATTTTGCAAAGACCATCTCCAAATAAGGTCATGCTCCAGGTCAGTGGCAGGGGGAGACGGGACTGAAAAACATAATTCAACCCACAACAGAGGGGATTACCTGGGGACGTGCCCACCTGATCCATCCCCTCCAGGCTGTGCTCTGGCGCTTGGGTGGGCACCTCCCACAGAGCCAGAGCCCAGCCCTGCTGGGACCCCTCCCCAGACCTGTCCTGCTGCTATGAATTCCAGGCTCTCGCTGACACCTGCTCTCCAGGACACTACAGCCCTGCAGGCTCTACAGCACCTCACACAAGCCTGTCTCTGCTGGCCAACCCCCTCCCTCCTTGCAATCCTCAGTTTCCAACTCACTTTTCAAACTGCCACCCAGGCCTTGCCCTCTGGCCCTGTGCCATGCCCCCAAACCTCTCTGGTCAAAGGCAGCCCCTGCCAGCCGCCTGTCCCTCTCCACCCTCCTCCGCCTGGGGAGGGAGCTCAGCAGCCCCTCCACGCTCAGGCACACATGGTTTCTGCAGCCCTCACAGCTAGCTGCCCCAGATGCCCCTCAGTGCAGCCACACTGCCGCCTCAATGGGCGCCCAGGTGCCGCCCTCAAACTGGTGCACCTGGGTCACTCACTGAGCTGGAGCCCGTGGGGCCCTTAGCTCCTCCTCCCCACTCAGCACACAGCAGAGGCCCCAAGCCCCAGTCATTTCTGCAGGCTGCCCTGCCCCTTCACCCTGACCTGGATTGTCTCCGAGTGGCCTTGGCAGTAGCCAATCCTGTCTCCCAAAAAGGAATGCGCCATCTTGGCATGCAGGTCAACACTTCCCGGCTGGACTCGCCTCACCCTGCCCCATCCTGGTCCTGCCAAAGCAGCCTTCCCACCCCAAAATGGTTCCTCTTTTGTCCTCAAGCCTGACACTGCTGCTATGGGCTGCAGCTTCCGTTAGCCCCACCAGTCCTGGGGGAACTCCTGCTCAGCCTCCAAAACCCTCTGAGAACCTCCCCGCTCCATTCCTGCATGTCAGCCTAGTCCTGAGCCAGTGCTGGCTGAGGCGCCGACTCATCTTCCAAGAGCACTGACCCCCCTCCTCATCCCCACCCCTTCCACTCTGCCCTGCCTCCTCCATCCCCCAAAAGAGTGGAGGCCCAGACGCAGCCTTCAGGAGCAGATCTGGAGTTGGGCCTGAAAACATGGGTTCAGCCCTCAGCACCTGCAGTCCTAGGATCAGGTTAGAGATGGTCAGCTCCAAAGGTAACAAGAGTTCCAGAAGCACCTTTTGAATAACAAAGACACAAAAGAGGAAGCAAACTAGATGGCTGGGGCCTTTTCTCACCTAGAAGTGATTTATTTCCCCAAGCTCCCCCCACCCCACCCCATGACTCAGCACCCAAGTGCCCCCCAACTGCCCCCTCAGGTGCAGAGTGGCATCAGAGGGGCCAACCCCGCCCTGACAAACCACAGCCTGCTTCCAGCGCACAGGCAGGCCACCCTGCCGCGCCCAGGATGTGCCCCGGCCCACACTCAGCAGCAGGACTTTTCCATCCCACCATACCTTGCTGTTCCTGAGAGCAGACCCAGGTCTCCCAGAATAAAGCAGGAACTGACTTTTATTTAAAAGGCTTTAACACTCAACATGCAGATGAACCCACCTACACACCCAAACTGTGCCATCTGACCCAGAGCGAGCCTTGCCAAGACCCAGGAGCCTCCCTGACGTGGATGAGAAATCAGCTGAAAGCTGCCGAGTAATGGCCCTGGCAGAGCCCCGCTCCTGACGTGACACAGCAAACTGGAGAGGCGCCGCGGTCCCCGGCGCGGGAGTCACGGGGACGATGCACACAGCGCACGGAATTAAAGGCCAAACTGGGGGGCCCGCGGCCGGGGGAGCTCCGCGCGCCCGCCCACCCGGGCCGTCCGCCCCCAATTACGGGGCAGAGGAGCGCCTGGCACACCTGCTCCCTCGCGGGCTCCGTTTCCGACAGGGAGGGCGCAGGCGGCGGTCGCGGAGGCAGCGGGAGACCGTCCTCTCCCGGCAGCAGGAGACCCCCCTCCGCTGGGCGGTGAAGGCGCCGCTGAGAACCGCGCGGCGGGCGCCTCTGCAGAGCGGGCTCCCCGCAGAGCAGCTCCTCCGGCGGGCGTCTCCTTCCTTCCCTCCGGAGCCCCTTCCTTCCCTCGCACCGGGGCACCGGGCGCAGGACCGGGACCAGCGCCGGGAGGGGAGGGAGGGGAGCACACCTGGGGGAAGGTGCGCGGAGGGGGTGGTGGGAGACGCACCTCACTTGGGGAGCCGCGCGCGGAGGGCCGCACCGCACCTGAGGGCGCACCGTCCGCTCCGCAGCTCCGCCTAAGGACGACCCGGCCCGGAGGACGCAGGCGGAGGATGCTGACTCACGGTCCGCGCCGCCGCCGCCACCGCGGATTCAAATACGGCCCGCGGCCCGCCCACCGCGCGCCGGCCGCGCCCCCGAGTGACGCAACCTCCGACGCGCCCGCCCCGGCCCCGCCCCCAGCTGCGCAAGCCTTAAAGGGGCCGCGCCGCCCCACACCGCCCCAAGGTGCCGGCTCTCGCTGCTCTTTGCCGCTGGCCACTTCCAGCAGTGAGCTTCTCTGCTTACTATTTTAATGGTCATTATTTACTAGGTTAAATCCTCACCTGAGGATATTTTCCCATTGATTTTTAGGGAGAGTGGGGGAGAGAGAGAGAGAAAGAGAGAGAGAGAGAGATAAACAGTGATGTGGGCAGGGGAGGAGCCTGCAACCAAGGTACATGCCCTTGACCGGAATCGAACTCAGTCAGGGTCAGAGCTCCATTGATTTTTAGAGAGAGAAACATGGATGTAAGAGAGACACATCGACTGGCTGCCTCCTGCATCGGGCAGATGGAGCCTGAAACCCAGGTATGTGCCCTTGACCTGAAATCCAACCCAGGGCCTTCAGTCCGTGGGCTGACACACTATCCACTGAGCCAAACCTGCTAGGGCAGTGGTCACTGTTTTCATCTGAAACCTGTTCATGTGGAGTGAGAGGCAAAGGAAATGAAATCTGTCAAATGACCTGAGATGATTCCACAAAAATCCATCAAATACAGAATAGTCTAGAAACCACACCTATTTTTTTGTTTACTTTAAATGAATAAATGAATAACTTTAAAGTGAATTATTCTGATTCAGTGCATTTGCACTGAAACTGTACCACTGGAGGAACATCCAGTCTATACCTGTTCGCCCCAAAGCAGGTCGGTGTGGGAGCCCTCAGCAGCGGGAACACTGCCCGGCGAGGGCCCTCCTGGGCCAGAGGGCAGTTCCAAGGATTCCATTACTTCCATCATAACGGGCAGAATCAGGCTATAATTTGATATGTGATCTCAGGAGGGTGAGCATAGAAAACGTGAGGAACACACTGACAGTAGAAGCTCATTATTTTAACAGCAGCAACAGAAATGTATTATCTGTAAATGGAGGCAATGTTGATCCTGAACAAAAATTCACTCATTACTTCCTGGTAGTTGGTTCAAGAAATATTTTAAGTCAGTGAAAGAGCACACAGCAAGATGGTCAATGCACAGTTCACAGGCAGAGGATGCCCCCTTAGGTGTTAGATAATCACTGCAAAAATTACTACAAATAGGCTAACTCCAACCATAAGTCATCACCTGCCCATCGAGACCCCTTTCAAAGCACAGATGCATCCAGTTCTGTTCTTCTCTCAGGTGAGCAAAGCCTCCCCTGTTTAGGGGCAGGAATTTCATTTTCCTAATTAATTTTCTCATATGCCTAAATTTTACTATTACTACCTTTACATTGGGGGAAAGAAGCCTTCCTTTAAGAGTTGTTTGTGCTTATCTGTAACAATGAAATTTTGTGTCGAAACCGGTTTGGCTCAGTGGATAGAGTGTTGGCCTGCGGACTGAAAGGTCCCAGGTTCGATTCCGGTCAAGGGCATGTACATTGGTTGCGGACACATCTCCAGTGGGTGGTGTGCAGGAGGCAGCTGGTAGATGTTTCTCTCTCATCGACGTTTCTAGCTTTTTATCCCTCTCCCTTCCTCTCTGTGGAAAATTAATAAAATATTTAAAAACAAACAAACAAACAAATAAACAAAAAACAATGAAATTTTGTGCTGCCCAGGCTGGGACTCTTATGGGAGTTGCACCTTCCCAGCCAACTCTGGCACAGAGACAGAGTTTCGAACTTCCACAAACAGAGGCCTCCCCTGGACCTCCCGGTCCCAGGACGGAGGGAGACCTGTGTGAGGGTCAGCTGAGCAATGCAGAATACCCTCCCCCGGTCCCAGATGCCCCACCACTCCGATGTGGCCTGTGGGGCCAAAGGGCAGGCACAGCCCCCAACACCCTTTTAGCTGTTAGTCCATCTTGTTCTTCCCTACATTTTCACCACAGTCCCCCCCACCAGAGTCCCAAGCCTCCGTCCGGGCCATCAGACAGGTTTCCCCCAGCCTGCCTCCAATCACATGGCCCATCAGTCCACAAACCCTCAGCTGGGAACCACGACAGTCATTTGTAATGACTAGTTGGCAGGCATGCCCATGGCCTTCTGGACTCATCCCTTCTCCCTCCCACCCTTGTCATGGTCCCCCACCTTCCGCCCTCGCGGTCCCTCCAACTCCCACTTCCATCTCCCTAAAGCCTCTGGTTCTCTGCCTTGCCCTGAGGCCTGTGCAGCTGCCCCACCTGAGGGCTGCTCATCAGATCTGCAGCCCCAGCCCCAGGCTGCCGGCGAGGCTGGCGTTTCCACGACCTCGACCTCGTGCCATGCAGCCAAAGTGACCGACGACCAGATCACAGGTGGGTTTCCCACCTTATTCCCAACACGCTACAATGTGAGTGCTAGAGAAGTCAGGGAAACTAGAGTCTTGGGCTTACCTGGGATGGCCTCGAGGGCACTGCCAGTGGGGTCCAATGGGTGGGCACGGGCCGAGAGAATGGGCAGAGCAGTGGGGGAGGAGCCGCTGGAACCCGCACTGGACGCCAGGCTGGATGCCACGCTGGAGCTCACGCTGGGAGCAAGCGGGTGAACCACTGTGAACACCGCCAGGTGGTTCTGTGCGGAGACACAAACAAGGTGAGCAGGCGCACCTGAGCGGGCCGCGGACAGACAGAAGCATCCGCTCGCTTCCACCCCAGAGCAAAAAGCAATGGAAGTGGGCTTCACCCCCAAATGTCTAGGTTATTCACAACGACCTAGACAGGCAGACTCAGTAGCTGCCAATCACCCAGGGTCGGGAACAAATGTATCTAGAAAGTCTCCTCTAATGAACCGCTCTGCAGAAAGCGGCTTGCTAAAGTCGGCATTCACCACTAGAAAACAAACACCCACAGACAAAAGCAGGTGAGAAGAAGCCTCTTCTGAAGACGGATGAAATGGTCCCATAACCGCATTACCGAAGAAAAGTTAAAAACGGGAGAACACAAGATGGCTGCCCAGGTGAACACCTAGCCGCAGCCGCACACCACAATTTCATAAAATACAACTAAAATATAAAATGGACATTACCCAGAACTACAGGAAAGTCGACTGACTGGAAATTCTACAACGAAAAGCAAAAAAGAAAACCAGAAGGAAGCGCGGAGGAGCTGTAAAAGCCTAAGGTAAGGAGACACACGGCGCGCGGAGAGGACGGAGCCGGAGAGGAGGGAGGCCGAGTGCCTGGCTGGCGTTCCCCAGCGGGAAGGAGATAAAACTCCGACTGTATTGGGCCCCAGTTCCGACTGTTCTGAACCCCAGTTCTAGGCCAGACCCTGGGGACCCAGACTCACACAGAGGGAGCTGGGCTGTAAGGCAGAACCCCGGGAGAGCGGCGAAAGGAGGTCCCGGAGGCGCGCACATTGTGCGCAGAGAAGGGATGGTTGGCTGTGCCGCGGGATTGCCCTGGCGAGAAGGAGACAGGGGCTCCAGTCTGCTCTGAACGCCACCTCCAATCCCACTTCCAACTGAACCGGGCTCATTGGGGGAAAGCCTAAACTGTTTGGCAGCAGGCGAAAACCGAGGGCACCTTTCTCCAGAGGCGCTGGCAGTGAGTACTGAAGGACCCTGAGACCCAGGAGCCGCATAGGGCAGGGCTGACGGAAGCCAAGGCTGTAGGCTCCACCTTGAAACTCCGTCCCATCTGTAGCTGCAAAATGCGACAACGAAATAGATCACAAACGAAAGAAATTGAGGACAAAAAGCGACTGGATATAGAGTTCAAATCTACTCTTATAAGGTTTTTCAAGAATTTCCTAGAAAAGATCCATAAGACCTATGAAGATATGAAAAGAGATCAACTAGAATTAATAAGGAATCAACAAGAAATGTTAAGAGATCAACAAGAAATAAAGAATACATTATCTAATGTTAAAATATGTACACAGATAATAATTTAATTTTAAAAAAAGAAGTCAAATAAAAAAAAAGAATACATTGTCTGAAATAAAAAATATTATACAGAGTCCTAAAAACAGAATGGAAGATTGCAAGAATCAAGTCAAAGATTTGGAACATAAAGAGCCAGAAGACACTCCTCCACAGACGCTAGAAGGCAAGAGAATCCAGAAAATTGAAGATAATGTAAGAAACCTCTGGGACAACTTCAAGCAAACCAACATCAGAATTATGGGGGTCCCAGAAGATGAGAGAGAGCAAGATATCGAAAACATACTGAAAGAAAGTGACAGAAAACTTCCCCCACCTGGTGAAAGAATTAGACTTACAAGTCCAGGAAGCACACAGAACTCCAAACAAGAATCCAAAGAGGACCACACCAAGACAAATCATAATTAAAATTCCAAGAGCAAAAGACAAAGAGAGAATATTAAAAGCAGCAAGAGCAAAGAAGGTAGTTACCTATAAAGGAGCACCTATACAATTGTCAGCTGATTTCTCAACAGAAACCATGCAGGCCAGACGGGAATGGCAAGAAATATTCAAGGTGATGAATAGTAAGAACCTACAGCCAAAGATAATCTACCCAGCAAAGCTATCACTCAGATTCGAAGGTCAGATAAAGAGCTTCACTAATAAAAAAAAGCTAAAGGAGTTCATCAACACCAAACCAGAATTATATGAATTGCTGAAGGGGGTTCTTTCAGAAGAGAAAGTAAATAAAGATAAAAATTATGAACAACAAATACGTAACTATCAACAAGTGAATCTAAAAACCAAGATAATTTAAAAAACAATCTGATGAACAATATTAACTGTTGAATATAATAGAATCAGAGGTATGGAAGGGGAGTGAACTGACGATTCTTGGGGAAAAGAGGAGAGGGGGATGTGGGAAGAGACTGAACATAAACTGTGCACCTATGGATGAGAACAATGGGGGGTGGGGAAAGGGCAGAGGGTGGGATGGGAACCTGGTGGAGGAGAGCAATGGTTGGGTGGGGGGGAACATTTGTAATAATATGAACAATAAAAATTTATTAAAAAAAAAAAGTAAAAAACAGGGAAATTCACGTTATACGATGGGCAACAGATAAAAACACAGAGAGCTGGCCCATCGTGGATGAAGAGCTGAGAACGTGCAGGGCACTGTGCGCAGGAAAAGCTACAGTGAAAGTGGCCTGGGACAGAGCTGGGAGCCAGCCCACACTGCGTTTACTAATTTTATTTTTAAAAATGTATTTTTATTTTTATATTATAGTTTACGGTACATTCAGTATTATTTTGTATTATCATCAGGTGTATAACATATTGGTTACACAACTGTATACTTTGCAAAGTGTTCCCCCTGGTATGTCCAGTGCCCCACTGGCACCTCACAGCCTTGTCCCCAGTCCCTGAAACCCGTCCCCTCTGGCAACCATCAGTCTATTCTCTGCATCTGTGAGTCTGCTTCTGTTTTCTTTTTTTAAATATATATTTTATTGATTTTTCACAGAGAGGAAGGGAGAGGGATAGAGAGCTAGGAACATCGATGAGAGAGAAACATCAATCAGCTGCCTCCTGCACATTCCCTACTGGGGATGTGCCTGGAACTAAGGTACATGCCCTTGACTGGAATCAAACCTGCGACCTTTCAGTCCGCAGACTGACGCTCTATCCACTGAGCCAAACCTGTTTCGGCTATTTCTGTTTCATTTGTTCATTTATATTGTTCTTTCTTTTTATTGATTATTTTTAAATATAGTTATTGATTTGAGAGGAAGGGAGAAGGAGAAAGAGAGAAACATCAATGATGTGAGAGAATCATTGATCAGCTGCCTCCTGCACGCTCCTACTGGGGATCAAGCCTGCAACCAGGGCATGTTGCAAGCCTGCAACCAGCCTGCAACCTGGTTCATAGGTCAACACTCACCCACTGAACTACACTGAGTTTAAAGGTAGACTCCTGTTACTAGGACATCGGGAGTCAGAGCTATAGGGAGGCAAAATGATGTGATGTCCAGGTTCTGCCTCAAAATAATACAGAAGTTAACTTGAGGATGGGGCAGCTGCTACAAGGCCAATGACAAGGCGGGGTTACCAGTTTGTCAGCCTAAGGGAGGTTTTCCATAACAAGGAGTGTTACTGTGCACTTTGTCAGACAGACATCTGCATAGGACAATTTTTCAAAGTGCATATTACTTGGCTCAAGGCCTGTGTTCATGGGCTCCCAACCCCCTCCACTGGCTCTGCTCAAGAGCGCGCTCCTTGGCAGGCCACGGTCACGGGTGCAGAGACCCTGGAACTGAACACCACTGTATGTTTGATGTGACAATCCTATATAATAAAAGGCTAATGTGCAAACTGACCAACCAGCAGAATGACTGATCGCTATGACATGCGCTGACCACCAGAGGGCAGACACTCAATGCAGGAGCTGCCCGCTGGTGGTCAGTGCGCTCCCACAGGGGGAATACCACTCAGCCAGAAGCTGGGCTCACAGCTGGCAAGTGCAGCAGCAGTGGCGAGAGCCTCTCCTGCCACCTCCATGGCATTTGGTCATCCCCTGAGGGCTCCCAGACTGGGCTGAGGAGACCCCCTCCCCCAGTGCACAAATTTCATGCACTGGGCCTCTAGTTTAAAACTAAAAACTCAAACTGCGGAAGTCTAAAGAACTGTGTCCCCTATGCTCTCTGAGGTCACCCACAAGCAAGCATTCCTATCCTTCCGGCTGTGGAGGTGTGACCACAGGCCTCCCTGTAATCCACGGAGACTGGTTCATTGCAGATCCCCCAAATTAAATCCCACACACAGCCTGACCTGGAGCCACCAGCCGGAGGCACACACTGTGACTTCACTGACCCACACAAGGCAAGTCACACTGCAGGACATGCCCCATGAAAGACATCAGGGACAACTGGTCCTGAAATTCGATGACAACATCCTGTTGGGCCCTTTCACGGAGGCCATGGTTGTTACAAACGTACCGGGATGGGCCAAGCCCCTAACACTGCCATTCCACTTCCTATCTGTATGAATCTGACTCTTCTAGGGACCTCTTAGGCATGAAATCATACAATAAGTGGTTCTTTGTGTCCAGCTCACTTCACTTAGCAAAGCCGTCTTTTTCATGGACTGAATGTCTATGTCCCTCCAAGACCCAGTGTTGAAGTCCTAACCCCAGATGACTGTGGAGACAGGGCTGTGCAGGAGGCGATTAAGGTTAAATGAGGTAGTAAGAGTGAGGTCCTGATCCGATAGGACTGGTAGGATTCGTATCCTTATAAAAAGAGAAAGAGACACCAGGGATGTGCACACACAGAGGCATAGTATGTGAGCACATACAAGACTCGGGCAGTCTGTAACCCGAGAGAGAAAGGCCTTGGAAAAATCAAACCTGCTTAGTTTTTGTTTTTGTTTTTTTATATTTTATTGATTTTTCACAGAGAGGCAGGGAGAGAGATAGAGAGCTAGAAACGTCAATGAGAGAGAAACATCGACCAGCTGCCTCTTGCACACCCCCTACCGGGGATGTGCCCGCAACCAAGGTACATGCCCTTGACCGGAATCGAACCTGGGACCTTTCAGTCCACAGACTGACGCTCTACCACTGAGCCAAACCGGTTTCGGCCCTGCCTAGCCTTTGATCTAGGACGTCCAGCCTCGGGAACTGAGAGAAAATGAATTTGTTATTTTAG